GAAATAAGCTGGGGAAAGTTTTACATGTCATTTTTAAAATCTAGAGTTTAGAAATATCTGAGTTCCTCTGTTTTGTGTTATTTTGTTTTAGTAGGGAATGTGACATGAATCAACTTGAAGGAGCAGTTTGATTTGTTTAAAGTAATGTGGAATCGCAGAATTTATTCTTTGGCTCAGCCATCTATCAACTGAGAAAAAACTTGAACATTAGACTAATTTAAATCTGGAACATGTTGACAGAGTGAGCACCTTATATACAAATCTATAGGGAATGCCTATAGTCACAGGGCTATTTTTAGCTTTAAATGCCGTGTTAACTCCTTGTTGAGAAGCAAGCCTAAATATACACACAATTCTTATTTTTCTTGACAATTTTTAAAAAAAGTCAAACAAAAAGATTTAACAAGGAAATCAGTAAATTATTAAATTTGCTATAAGTTTATTATTTATTTGTTAAATAAGTAACTTAATAAAATGGAAAACCAACAAAAAAATGAGAGAAGAGTTAGCAATTTCCCAATGAGTCCAAGGACAAGTTAGGAATAATTAGGCAGCTTCAGGGACAGTGCAGGCAGGACTTCAGGAGAGTTTGGGAAGTGTGCAGAGATGAAGGCAACATATTCCAAAGGGGACTAATCAATGGCCCCCGCCCCCATCTTCCCCACATGAGACTAGGGGCAAGGAACAAGGATGATAAAGGAAAGTATGTTAAGATAAGGGCTGGGGCACAGAGATTTTCGTTTGGGGCACAGAGATATTACGGCAGAGTGAGTGAGTTGAGCAGGTGCTCCTTTCCCTACAAAATGTTCACTTCAGCACTCTTTTGCTCGGTCACTCTATATGTGGGTTCATTTATTCTCTTCTTCTGTCTGTTTGTTCTCATGTCCGAATCCATTTTTAAGTTGGTGATAGCTATGCTTTGAAAAGATAGATCATTATTTTTTAACAATATTTAGTATACCAAAATGCAGACTGTATCTGAACTTATGCATACATTTATTAAAATCACAAATATATCTGACTGAAATTGTTTAGGGAATTTATTCTGAACTTAAATTTCATATAGGAAGGAAACATAAAAGGTAGTTAAAGATACATGTTTTGTAGACCCGCTGCCTTGGTTGGAATCTTGGTTCCATTCCTGTTATTAAAGGAAGGCATACTCTTCCCATTTTACAGACAGAGCTAAAGACCGGAAGAGACATACTCCAAATACTTGTCCAGTTGATAGTGGACACAGAGATAGAAAATGAATTATTGTGCTTTCCAGTTAATGCTCCCACTTATATTTTCTATTAGTGTAAGCATTATTTTAGATTTAAAGAGGTTCTCTTGGATTGTAATAGTTTATTTCCCTATAGTTATTAAATTGTTTTATAGATCCCAAATTTCTCTTAATTCTTAGAGTTAAAAGATAAGCTGTTATTCCACCCGGTTTATGGTTGGGAGATTGAGTCACAGCCTTTGTTTGTCACAAACATAGTTGAGATCGCAGCTCCCCAGCGACTGGGGAGCAAGGGTACTTTGCTGCAGTTCTTCGTTATATTTCCCAGTGTGCACCAGACCTGGAAGCTCTCTCACCTGTGAGGGAAGTCTCCCTTTCCCTTTTTCTTTATTTTAAGGTTTTCTTTAAGACGAAAATCTCTTTCCATGTAAACTGGGCCAAAGAATAAAACCTGTCACTCACTAGACAGGCCTAGGGCCCCCCAGGGATCCAGGCATGGTTTACTGCCTGAGGATGCTGGGAATAGCAGACACTGGCCCAGTCAATTATCACAGGAGCTCAGGATTAAGATGAGCTGAAAACACAAAGGAATTGGAGAGCATGTGGTTATAATAGAAACCAACAGAGCAATACAATATCAAGAAATCATCTAGCAATTTCTTCCTTGATTACTATTTTTTTGAAAGCATTTTATTCTTTCTTCCCTTGACCAGCTTCCAGTCAGGATTTGATTGAGTGATACAAAGCAAACATTATTTCTGGTTCTTTTTGGAAGAATTTGATGTTGTTCCATTTGATTTGAACTTACAAAGGCAGAGCTCACTAGAACTCTGCCTTATGATTTCTTTCTGTAATATTTTTGTTTCACTTATTCACACTGGAAAGAAGGAAGAGAATATTTTATTTTCTCTCCTCTTCCTTGTTTTTCCCTAGTTTGTGTAAAGTATAAATACTACAGAGAGAAATTTGGTTAAAACATCCTACTTATTCTGTCTTGAGAAAATTATTGTAATACATTTGTAGCCTTCAGGCATTTAAGTTCAGTAGGGCTATTTATTAAAGAGCTATGACTAAAGAGTTCATTGTCTGCTATCATTTTCTGTCATCCTCTCACTTGTCTCACTTGTTCTCCAATATCTTCTTGCTTTTTTCTTACAGATACCTACTTCTAGCTATTATTCCTTCCTCCTCCTTCCCCCATGTACTTTCTCTACCCTCTATATCTGCCTTCACTCTTACTGTACCATTTTCTTTGTAACTTGATGTTTGGTGACCTCACCTTCCTCCATTCTCTTTTCTTTATTCTACAAATCTTTATTTAGTGCTGGCTCTGCCTAGAGTCCTGCATTGTGTCAATCCACAGTACATCCCCTGAGTGTAATTCTGTCATGGTTGTACTATTGTAATAATGCCTGATCTATCTAAATATAAAATATAAACATTTGAGTTGATTTAGTTAATGCAATGTTGAATTCAAATTTGAAAAAAAGGAAAAGAAACCCCATTAATTCTTGCAACCTGGGGCTTCTAAATATTAAAAAAATTTGCTTCTTTTACAAAATCCTATACTCAGTCTGTTCAGATAAGGAAAATTATTTTTGTCCACTCCAAAATATTTAATTTTTTAGAAGTGAGTAGAGCATGGGGAGGATACAGGAATCAGGAGAGAAGTACACTGTGCTCTGTCTTGCTGATGTGCTACAGGGCAGCTCATAGAGTATATTGAAGCAGGTGGTCCTGGAAGAGCGCCTAAAGCAAGGCTGAAGATTTCAGACTCTGAAATATGGAATTTAACTGTAATCCTCGCTAAATGAATGGAGTTCTAGGTATGTGGCCAGGCTTGTGGGGTGCACAAAATAATATAGTCCAGTAACGCTTGGCTTCATGTGTCTTGTCACTGTAGTTTTATGTGCATCTCAAAGGTCTGTCTATGTTATATTTCTCCAACATAGGCCTAAGTGTCCTACTTCACTGGATCCTGCTGCATTTTCTCCATCATGACAGCAGTTTGGGTCTCGGGACTCTAGGTCAGGATTACTGACAGTATCAGTTCCTTGGGGTACTATCTAGCATAGTTCCAGACTATGATGCTGTCAAGTACACTGCTTTTTGAAAGTTTACATTCTACCACATTTTACTTTATGAAAGACATGTATCTGCTTTTTGAAAGTTTACATTCTACCACATTTCACTTTATGAAAGGCATGTATCTGTTTTAAATAACCAAAAGAAGTCTGAAGATGTTCAGTTTTATAACGTTTTATGAAGAAGTCAAAAGTAGTGCTCAGCATTTGTTTAGCCTCAGCTGTTACGGAGGCAAAACATTCCCATGCAGCAAGCCACAGGGGTGGCATTGTGAAGCTCTCTCCTTGGGAACTACTTTTACAGGCTATGTATTTATATTATTCCTGGTTTTCTGTATGTTAGTGTTATTGGGGGGGGTGGGGTAATGTGTTTTTGGATATGTCCTGACAGATTATTTTTGGGTTCTGGGAACACTGAGAACTTTTCATAAATGAATGGTAATTGTTTCTTTGCTTTATACCACTTCAGCTTATGAAAGGTTTCATAAGGACACTCTACTTTTGGACAGCAAGGAAGTATTTAGTCTTAATAGAAATGTTCACTTACTAATTTACATGATTTTTAAGTTCAGAATTTTATGTATGAGGTTCTATTTAAACTTTCATATGGTAAATATGAGAAACAAGGATGTAACAGCAGTAATCATTTTCACAGCTTCAAAAAGGCAATGTTGGTTGTAGTTCAAGGAGAGATGGTGGTTTTACTCTGGATTGTGAAGAAAAAGGAGCAGTATTACAGGAGAGTGTTTTTAGTAGAGAAAAAAATTAGAAGGTGGCCACCAAGTAAAAGAATAGGTGTGTGTGAATGGGAAGTAAAATGAGAATTTTTTTTTTATCTTATCTAACTTTGAACCTCAGGTTCAAACCACCACTTCTGGAAAACCTTCCAGAATTTTGTTTGTGTTGTGGATATTTCAACTCTCTATGCATTAATGTTCCAGTTACTTTTGTACTGTTTTATAACCTACATTAAAATGGTTAATAAAATCATTGGGATGAATTTAGTTTTCTCCAACTATGGGTTATCTTCTGAGTTAGACTGACAAAGATTGTTCCTGATAATAAGAATCTTTTACAGTCCTTCACTTAATTGTTGCTATAGAGAAGTTCATTAACGGTAAAAGGATGACACGTGGCAGGGTGGTGACAAGACAGGCAGAGTGGACTGAGTGAGGAGATGGAAATAAAGAATTTAGAGGGGTGGCTGAGAGAAGTATGAAAGGAGTTCCCTTGTGCCCATTACCATCAAAAAATATGCATCTCTACTGCAAGGAATGGTGTTCTTTCAGTGTTTTTTTTGTTTGTTTGTTTGTTTTTATTAGATTTATTAATTTTGGGGGTTCCTTTTAAAGGAGTAAATTAGAATTGGAAGGAAGTGGAGTTCAGCATATTAATAGTATTATGTTTGGGGATGGACCTCTAGATGATACATACATAAGCTTTTTGATATTTCCCAGTTCTTATTTAAGAATTGTTATTAAGAATAATATTCCAACAATTAAAATTTTAGTTCTATTTCAGCAGTTTTGACCGACTAAGACAATATTGACCATTTGAAATAATTGAGATGCAGTGTTTAAAAATTTCAACAGTGGTTAAAGTCTGATATATAGTTACATTTTTGGGCAATTTTCCCTTCAAATTCAAGTTAACAATATTAACAGTTCCTCCCTCTCTATTTTTGATAATAGGACATTTCCAAGTTTGCAGAGAAAGACAATATAGTTCTCGGAGAAGGTGGAATTACACTGAGTGGAGGTCAGCGAGCTCGGATTTCTTTAGCAAGGTGAATATCTGATTGTTGGTTAAGGAAATATTTGCTGTTAATTTTATACGTAAAAAAAATAAGAGACATTTCTCTATTTCTTTATTTTCTGTTCTAGAGTTAAAAAAGCCTGGGTTTTATGACTGTCAGTCTAATAAGAATCATCCTTTAGAACAATAATGATATATACCATTTTATAGCTGATAAAACATTCTCAAAATTTACTTGCCATATGGTATGGTTTATTGCAATCAGAAAACCCTGGGATTTTGAATAGCACAAGGAGAGAGAATTTATAAATCTTTTAAGTCTGTTGTAACAGTCGCATGTTCACTCAAATCTCACAATGCATATGAGGCTTTAGACTTTTGTTTATACTTCTTGGTTTAAATAAGCATACATTTTTCAAAATTTTCAACCTAATTAACAATTTTCACAGCAAAAACTTAAAGCAAATGATGTCACTTGTCTTAAATCTTAAAATCTGTAACCTTTAAAGAAATACCAACAAATAAGACAGGCACACTTAACCATTGCTGGGAGCAGAGTGATTTTTCTCGATAGAGTGATTCTTTAAAACAGTTTGAATTATCAAAGTACAGTTAATTTGTGTGAAGAAAAAAATTCTCTGTGGTTAAATTACAACTTTCTATTAAAAAATATTGGTGATATGGGATGTCAAATGTTCCTCCTGTTTTATTTGAACAAACTTTCTCATTCTCTGTTTCAAAGTTGTTCACAAAAACAGCTCACTTATATTTTGGTTCTTTCCATTTGCTTTCTCCTGCTTTCAAAAATTGAGACAGGAAACTAATTCATTAAGCATGTGTAGTTACCTGGTACTATTCTAGGTGGTGTGTGTGTAATTGTACCCAAGAAACTATAAAAAATTATTTTCCACTTTATGGACATGATTATGAGGAATTGAGGGTGTTAGATATTCTTCTTGTTGAAAACCACGAGGGAAATAGAAGAATCACAATTTGAACCTGGTCACCTCAACTTTACATGAAACTATGCCTGGTCTTGGGATTGCACTTTGAAGTACTAAATGAATGGGTATATATATATAAAAAATTCAGACAAGTTAATGACTTCTGAAAAAGTGGAAGTTGATTAATTTAGAAGAAGGTCAATATAAGAAGTAAGCATTCCATTTTAAATTTAAGGGAGGTATATTATGTAGCCTCTACATAGAGTTGTAGATTTGTATTTACCAGATTATGGTAAATTTGTATTTATCAGATTATGATTTGGTTTTATTGTAAGATACACACAATTTGTCACTATTAGAAAGGGTTATTTATTGTTATTCTGATCAGAATATTTTTGTGTCAGCACTGGGTGATGACATACTATTTCTAATATATTGAGAAATGGTGGTCACAGGTTTGCAGGAAAGATAGAAGAACTAAGTGGAAGGAAAAGACTTGGAAGGTAAATTTTGATGGGGATCCTTTATCTTTTGCATGTTGCCTTTAACAATAACTTCTACTGCAAAGCTCCTTTTATATTTTACTTTTACCTTTTGCCATTTGTTATTTTATCCTCTTATTTACATGCTAATTGAATACAATTTTATTTTCATAGAAAGTTCCAATACCTATTACATAGACACTGTACCAGTATAATTGGGGTAGGGGAGGAGTATTAACAACCACCCCTGAAAAGTTTAACCACATCGTTTCATAACATAGACCTATATAATACAATCTTAGACTCAACTTAAATTTTTCTTGCACATAAAATTTTATTTCTTAACAAGTAAAATATAGTAAGTATACATCTTTACTATGAATTATTCATTCTTTGTTTGGGATTTTTATGTATATAGAGTTGGAAATGAGGCTATAAGAAGTGCATGCAGCCAGTTATACAGCGACAGCAGCACTGCTATCAATTTGCTGGTAGCAGTGAACACTGAAAACATTAAAAATAAAATGTTATTACAGAATTATTTATAAGAACAGTATAAAGTAAAAGCTACTCAAAAGAAATGAAATAGTTCCATAAGTTTTGCAATTTAGTTGCTGTGTCAATTTATAGCAATGAAATAGTGCATAGATTTTTTTTGACAGTATAGAGTATCCCCCACTTTTTCAGATTTATTTTTATTTATGCATACAAGAATTGGGGTTTAGGGCAGAGGTGCAGGTGGTAATGGTGAGAGGATTCACCAGAGACAGAGTGGGGAGCAGGTGTACTGAAATACAACTTCTGAGGGGAGCAGTGAGACAGGAGAGGTCTGCCATGCCATATGGGCCATCTTCCTGGCCAGGGATTGAACTAATGCTACAGTAGCTGGTGATAGCTAGATAGCACTGACTTTATCCCTGTGCCAACAGAGAGGCCCTGGGGTACCCCCTTTTTAGGTCTAGTTACTGTAGCACAACTACCTCCAAAGCACCTTTAGCCCATCACCAGAGTGTTTTGTGCCCCTCTTCACACTGGTCCAGTTACCCAACCCTCCCTCACAGAAGTTTCGATTCTATAGTCAGCTTTCAAAGGTTGGTTTTTAAGCTTATTTTTATGACACTTAGTTTTGATTCTCTATTTTTCAGCATAACCCTTCCAACTCCATCTATGTTGCTATAAATGGCAGGAGTTTAGGAGTTTATCTATTTTGATCACAGAAATTTTCCTCTATGTTTGTGTGTGTGTGTATGTGTACCACATCTTCTTGAACCACTAATCTGCTTTGGGACACTTAGGTTGTTTCCAAAGCTTGGCCATTGTACACAGTGCTACAGTAATAGAAAAACACTAAATCATAAGCAAATTTAATTTTTATCATTAGTTCCCAAAAACTCATATTCTCATATCGCTGTTAAAACTAAGTTTTTAATTGGTATGGTTAGGAACAATTGAATTTTTAACTTTTGCAAGTGTATTCATTCATAGCTAACAAAACCATTTTTTCAGTTTTTGGAGTGTTGTAAAAAGCTATAAATATCATCTGTGACTTACCTTTTTGTTCCTCATTCAAAATCATCTCTAAATAACAAGGGTAATATTAAGAAAATTCAATTTCATTTTCATTTTCTTTATAGAGCAGTATACAAAGATGCTGATTTGTACCTATTAGATTCTCCTTTTGGATATTTAGATGTTTTAACAGAAAAAGAAATATTTGAAAGGTATGTTTTGTTTTTTTTTTAAATAATGTATAATGTTCATGCTAAATGACACCACAGACTGCTGATTACCTATTTAGACATAAATCCACTGTTGTGTCTTGTGTAGCAGAAGGTGGCATAGCACTTAGGTCTGATCTTCCCTTCCTGGTCAAGATTCAGCATCATGTCCTTCAAAATCTTCCCTAACTATCTCATGCTAAACCAGTTTCTTTCATTGCTATTGTTTCATAATCACTATGTGCAGTTTTTACAGTATTAATGAACAATAGCATGCATTTATCATTTTGGTTATAATTAATGATTTTTACTTTTCTGTTCTACTATTTTATTGTATCTCCTCATTAGATAGTAAAGTTTTAAGGAGCTGTACCTGCAGAATGTTTTAATGTAGGTGAATGTGTAGGCCACTCATCTCCCCCATTATCTTTTTTATAACTTTGTCTTGCCTTTGGATTTTCCTTTCATTTGAGCTGCGATTAGAGCTCGTGTGTGAAGTTCCTTTTGGGGAAAGTGAGTTGTATGACTTCACTTTAAAACTTTCAGTGACTTCATGGATTATAGAGTAGTTTATTAGAAAAATAAATATTTTAAACAGTAAGAATGTAGTATGTGCTTAATATAGCTGTATTTCTAAAAGTTCCTTTCTTAGAATTTAACTTTAATATAGAATTTACTATTTTTATAATCCCACTTTGATAATTAACTTCCTAGCAACATAAAGTTTGCTAGCTTTGTTAAAGTATAATCTAGAATGATGTCTTTTTCTAAGTAACATACATTTTGATGATCCAATGAAATTGTTCTGTCTTAGAAGGTTCTTGTTGGGATTTATTTACCGACCAGGGTAAAATTTATTATCTGAATTCTCAGGTTCACTATTACATTTTTTAACAAATCAGATTAGTTTTATTATAAGCTCTTAGGAGCTAAACTGGTGTTCAATTTAAAATGTAAAAGGAAGTAAATATAAAATTAAAGAATAGGGACATTCTAACATTTTTGAAGACAGAAATACAAACCTCAAGGAATTTTAAAGGTGACCTCACAGTTTCTTTATTTCCTGCATGAATAGACCAAAATCTCTATAGGTTAAACAACTTGCTTAAAGTTAATTTATATCATATTACTTATATAATGTTTATATAAGATTGCTAATTTAATGTTAGGTCGTTTTGCCTTCAACTTTGCAGTATAACATGCTGTAAAAAAATTAAGAAAATAATGATTCATGTAATAATCTGAGGGGCATCAAATTAATTTCTATTAAATACTTATTTTAAAAAATATTTTTAAGTATAATGATAACATTCGAAGAGGGAAATTTTATATAATAGTATTTTAAATAAATGTTAAAATGTAACACATCAATGTAATAAAACACATATAAAGTTGATCTTATTTATATCTTTTTATGTCCTTAAAGCTGTGTCTGTAAGTTGATGGCTAACAAAACTAGGATTTTGGTCACTTCTAAAATGGAACATTTAAAGAAAGCTGACAAAATATTAATTTTACATGAAGGTACCAGCTATTTTTATGGAACATTTTCTGAACTACAAAATCTACGGCCAGACTTCAGCTCAAAGCTCATGGGATATGATTCTTTTGACCAGTTTAATGCAGACAGAAGAAATTCAATCCTCACTGAGACTTTACGGCGTTTCTCTTTAGAAGGAGATGCTACTGTTTCCTGGAATGAAACAAAAAGACAATCTTTTAAACAGCCAGGAGAGTTTGGGGAAAAAAGGAAGAACTCTATTCTCAATCCAATCAACTCTGTAAGAAAATTTTCTATTGTCCAAAAGGCTCCACTGCAAATGAATGGCATAGAAGAAAATTCTGATGAGCCTTTAGAGAGAAGACTGTCCTTAGTTGCAGGTTCTGAGCAGGGAGAGGCCATCCTTCCACGGAGCAGCCTGATTGACACTGGCCCCACATTTCAGGGGCGCAGGAGGCAGTCTGTTCTGAACCTGATGACATACTCCTCAGTGAACCAAGGTCAGAGCATTCACAGAAGGACAGGTACATCCACGCGAAAAATGTCGCTGGCACCTCAAGCAAACTTAACTGAATTGGATATATATTCAAGACGGTTATCTCAAGATAGTGGCTTGGAAATAAGTGAAGAAATCAATGAAGAGGATTTGAAGGTGTGTATAAGTTTTATTAGTGGGTTTTCACCAACCTCCCTCCCCACCCCACCATGTAAGAAAACAGGAGACTTAAAGACATTGACAATTTTTTATGTGTATGTGTGTGTGTGTATGTGTGCATATATATATATATATATATATATTCAGATACATATTCAAATTACAAGTTTAGGATGAGGTTTATCTTAAGATTCTGAAATTCCAAAATCCAACAATTAAGTAAACTATTTTACAATGTAAGTGAATCATCTGTTTCCTTTTGTGATAGATGTATCTTTTCCTTCAAATTTGTTCTAAGTCAAAGCCAGGGTTAATTTTGTATTCTTTAGTAGGCCAGCAATAAACACTATTATAAATTAGAAAGTGTCTGTTTTACTATCACCTTAAAACTTCTCTGGGAAGAGATTGGAATATGAATAAATATATGAACAAACAATAGCTTCCGTTATTTAGCAACCATGAAATATTTTTTGTGGATATAGCTTATTTAAGGTACATAATAATCATAATCTCTTGATTGGGCTAACTTACTTTCTAGCTTACACATTAGTTTCCTGAATTTAGTGGAAGTTTTTTATCTTTTAAATTTGTTGTATATATTGGAATTTGAAAAAGATTTCTTTTAAAGAATGTATGTGAAGCTCAGCATATACTAGGGAAGTTTTTAGTAACAAAGTTTATTATATTAAGTTTTAAAGAATAAAATTATTTCATTCTTAAAATAGAAAGCAGTATAAAAGAAGAAGGTTTATGTTTGTGTTCTCCTTTTTCTTTTTTTTTGCTAGAACCTTGGATGAAAGAATATTTAAATTAGATCATGTCTTTAGCAGTGTAGACCAGTTAAGCATAACATTTGGCAAGGCTCGAGTTTAACATTTTTCTGGACAAAAGTTTTCTTCTTTGTAAGACGAGGAACTGAATTAATTAACTCTCAAGTACATACTTTCAGATTTTGTATAATTTTAAAAAGACTTCCTAAAGGATAATTCTTCTATGTGTTTTTTTCTTTGTTTCCCTTTAAGATTTATTCTCTCTTTTTTTAACTTTTAAGTATTCAATATAGCATTATTAACTATGGTTACCATGCTATATATTACATCAGAATGACTTATTATTTTATAATTGGAAGTTTGTCTGTTTTTTATCTTTTTATATATTTTACAAGGTGTTTATATCAGCTGGGATGAAGTTCTCAAACCTGAGCCTGTAAGTGTAGTAGTAAATAATGATATCTTTGAATAACAATAGCTGTTATTGTTTGAATGCTACCAGTACCAGATAGGATTTATTTACTCCCCATTGCTTCCCTGAAAGGTACTTGTTGCTGCCTCATTTACAAATGAAAAAAAATTAAGGTTCAGAGAACACCCATGATGTTCCCAAGTTCAAACAGTATCTAGATAATAGTGGAGTCCAAATTCAAGTCCATGACCATTTAACTCCAAAACTCTTTATACCTAACCAGTGTGCACTATGCTGCCTTCTACAGGGCCCCTTGGACCCATTCTTCGTTCTAGTGCTTCTTCTATGAATGTTGTTGACTTCTTGAGAAGCAAACTATTCTTTTTCACTAAACTATCTGATATCACTGTTTTTAAAATTTTGAAATGCCTTTATTAAATAACTAAGATTTCTCAGGGCCTATACCCAGGCTATAGTTTATGTAATTCAAGTCAAGTAATAACTGGAAAGATAGATAATTCTAGGCTACGAAGGAATGAGCAAACATTAGCTGGCCTTCAGGCAAACTTTCAAGCTATATTTGTCCATGGACCCCTGAAGAAATAAGTGAAAGGAGAGTTCTGGGAAGCTTCAGTTGGATAGAATAATTCCTTTGATATGAGGTGTGATCTTATCATTTTATCATTTAAATAGTGGAATTGTCTAAACACAATACATTTATGTAATCAGTTCATTACTTTTCAGAATTTGAAGAATTATAGTGTTTCTTATTTTTCAAAAACTGTTGTTTCAGTGGACTGATAGTAGAGTGACATCGCATATTGTTAATGATGGTTTGTATTTGTTATTATTCATTTAGATTCAAATATTAATATTTATTTCCACACAGTCAAAATGAAACCAAGTTAGTGGTATAAAGTCTCATTGCAATAACCATAATTCTTTTTTTAGGAGTGTTTTTTTGATGACTTGGAGAACATACCAGCAGTGACTACATGGAATACCTACCTTCGATATATTACTGTTCATAAGAACTTAATTTTTGTGCTAATTTGGTGTTTAGTTATTTTTCTGGCTGAGGTAAGAATGTTCTGTTGTAAAAAATTTGTTATTTAAAATTAAATTAAGAATAATTTAAAATACAAGTTTAGATGCTAATGTATGTATAGTTTCAAAAGGTTTTTATTTTCTCTAATTCAGCAATTGATATAAAATCACTTGATATTTTATTATTTCATATGTAAGCCTATAAAATGTACTTAAGCACAACTACTTGAGTTTTTTTAAGATTTATTTATTTTTATGCATACAGAATTGGGGTATAGGCCAGAGATGCAGGGGCAGTGAGAGGATTCACCAGAGACAGAGTGGGGAGCAGAACATTGTTGAGGGGAGCAGTGGGCAGGTCAGGAGAGGTCTGCCGTGCCATGTGGATCACCTCTGGGGTCGGGATTGAATGTTGTTTTAGCTTCTTAATGCTGTGCTTTAACCTGCTGCGCCACCAGGAAGAGCCTTCTTGAGTTTTTAAGAGCGATTAAAAGTTACAAACTTGAATGCTTTATAAGGATGAAATCAAATATTGGGAATCAAAATTTATTTGATTTGAGATATTGCATTGTACATATATAAGTGATGAATCACTACTTTTAAGTTATTATTTCTTTACAAATGATATAAATACATATTGATGGTTTTGTATTATTCCAACCAACACTTTCAGGGAGTCAAATCACTCACATGAAGAAACATTTTCTCCAAGCTCTCGATTCTATTCCATTGTACAGTGTCTGCTTTAGTTCTAGTGCCATATTTTTTTGATTATTATAGCTTTGTAGTATAAAGCTTGCGCATGTAATACCACCATTCTTGCCAGGATTGCTTTGACATTTGATATCTTTTGTGGTTCCACATAATGGATACCTTTGAAAGATAAGGATTGCATTAAATTTGTATAGAGCTTTGCCTAAGATGACCATTTCAACAATCTTCCAGTCATCCAACTCATGAGCAGGGAATATCTTTCAATTCTTTGTTTTTTATATTACTTTTAAGAATGTCTTTGTTTTCATTGTATAGATTTTCACCTCTTTTATTTACTATTACGCATTGAATTCTTTTTAATGCAATTGTAAATGAGATTGTTTTCTGAGTTTCTTCCTCTTTATCTTATTTTCTATAGGAAAGCAGCTGATTTTTTTATATTGATTTTGTAATCCTCCATTTTGCTGAACTGATTTATTATTTTAATAATTTTTAGTTTTCTATGAAAACAGAGTTTTCTGTGGATATTTATGATATCTTTTTCTTGAAGAAGTGATTTCTCCTTTTATTTAGTGTTCCAACAGGCTTGTACTTCAATTTAGATTTTAAGATTTTATGGAAAAAGTTCAATATGTTTTCTTTTTGCAATATGAAGCACTTAGCTCTTTTTACTTCCATAAGTACTAAACTAAAAATATTTTGACTGTTCAGTTTGTTACCATTTAATCATCTTAATCATTAGTGTATAATTCGATAATAAGAGATAACCTATTATTGCATTTTTATACCATTTTCTCTAATACATTTCTCTATTGTATTTTCTATAAATTCTTAATTATAAACATCAAGGATCTAGACTATAAATTTATATTATATTGTTCTAAGTGTTCTTAGTTGGAAGTGCATCATTGACTAGATAGAGAAGAAATTAAGTCAGAAGATTGGGAGACAGTTTCCTGGTTACAACAACCACACTGGAGTTGACCTGTTGTTGAATGGAGCACCAAACAATAATGTTTAGTGATTTTTCAGATATGTGTCTTGAGAACTGCTGTTTTCTATTCTCTTACAATTTCCCTTTTGATTGTTAATAAGGAAACCCTGAATGACTTGACATTAATAATAAAAGGGGCATTTAATATGCTCCTACAATATCCCTGCTATTGGTTACAAGTGCTATCTTTTACTACTCTTTTAGCATGGTCTGTGTTTTAGTGTGTAATTTACCTGTGAAGCTTTGAAATCTATGAGTAAGTTATACCAGGGTGTCACTTTATTTTTAGAATTCAGCCATATTCTCATTCAGCACATAGTTTTGGTATGTGAGAATATGCCAGAAATAATTCAATGTGCTATGTATATAAAGAAGGATGAATAGATCATACATATGAAATATTACATAATATTTACAATGTTAACATCAGCATTTATCATGCTGTTCTCCTTTGGCAAAAACACAAACTACCAATAGTTAAAGAATAGGTATTAATTTATAATCAGATTCATTTTATGACTTGAGAGGTAGCACTGGATTCTGTATATGCAGAGTGATTGTAGAATGAATCAGCTTTGGGTCTATATTTTTATACTTGATTTTTCAAATTTGTTTTCTTTATGTGCATTTGCCTTTCTTTCTGTTGATATTTGCAGTTGTTTAAGTATTCTCTTGTCCATCTATTATTTTTAAAAAATGGATTCACAGAATATCCACTTTTGGCTAGGTGTTGTGCTAATAAGCACAAAGAATACAATGAGAATGAGGACAAATGATTCCTCCCTAGTCTTATAAAGCACATTCTGAAGGAGGAAATAGGCAGTAAAAACATTTTGGTGAAAAAAATTAGAGAAAGTGAGAAGAAACAGGAAATAATTAAGTGTTCTGAGATAATGGTAGGAAAAGGACAGGGGACAGGGAGATCTTTCTAAGGAAATGACATTTAGTTGACGTCTAAAAGACAAGAAGGAGTCACATATACAAAGACTGGGGCAGATGTGAAGGTCCTAGAAGAATTTGGTAAATTATGGATTCTAAGAGAAGGCTGGAATAATTGGGGAGATGGGATTGACAAGATTGATATGATAATGTTCAAAAAGTAAGCACAGACAAGACTCAGAAGACCAATTGGCTGTAGTGAAAACCTTGGGCTTTTTTTAGCCAAGGAAGTCTTTAGCAGCCTTCAGTCAGAACATAATGTGATCTTTTTCATGTTTTAAAAAGGCATTTCTCTCTACTATATGGAAAATAGATGGGTGCATGAGAGGAGACAGGGACATCTATTATGACTGGAAAAATTACTGTTATGGCTAGGCACAACATCCACTACAGTGGAAAGTAATATTTAAAAGCCTCTGCAAATATTACAGTGTTTACTTTGTAGCCTATTAAAGCTCTTTATGATGGAATGTTGGATCATTATACTTTCTTTGCTCTATTCACAATTTAAGCTTTTTATATATTTAATCATACTATAAATACATTGCCTGTGACACTTTTTTTCATTTCATACCTATTTTCTTTAGTTGTAAATATCAGAATTGTATTTGAACTGTTATGTCATGGTAAGTTTACTCATAAGTCCTGAATATGTTCATGTTCTAATTCTACATCATGTCTGGTTTTTTAAGCCATACTATTAGGGTTTTATTATATACATATTCAGCTTTCATATAATACATCTTCTAGGATGTTTTTAAATTCAGTTAGCAAATAAATTTTTTCAAAAATAAGCACTGGGTTATTCTTTACACACAACACACAATGATATTTCTGTCATTTTTTTGATCATGTAGACAAATTATCTATATAGTTTTGACTCTGACCTAGCTTCCAAATATTAGCTACTTCTTTCTCATCTATAGCCATTTGAAAAATTCATGAATCATCATCTTGGCCATTCATGGACCTATCCTTAGAGAACACCATTGTTATATTTCTGATGCCTGATATGTTTGTGTGTGTGTGTATACACACACATATATACATATATAATATTCTGTACCACCTATAACTAGTAGTTGTGCATGTACTAATACAGTAGCTACCAGCCATATATGAATATATAAACTAAATTAACTAAAAGAAATAAAATTTAAAATTCAATTCTCAGTCACTTATTAGCCACATTTTTGAATAGTCAAAATGCTACACATATTAAGTGGCAACAATATTGAACAATGTAGAAATACAATACAATACAATATAATACAATACAATACAATATTTGTAGTATTGTGGAAATTTCTCTTAGATCCTGCTGATTAAGATTATACTATTTTCTATGGCACCAAGTTGAAAATCCTGAAAAATTTTAACACTAAAAGGAATTTTTTTGTGTTTCTCTTTTAATTATCTGGGACTGTCACTCTTACTGACTGCACAACTTTCTAACTTCGAAATGTTTTGGAAATGAGATGCTAGAACTTGTTATTAGTTTAATTGTTTCTATATGCCCCAAATATTTTTTCTAAAGCAATTATGTCAAACATAAGAAATGCTTTTGTTCTGGTAGGTAAAGGCTGTTTGCATTGATTTGAATTGGTTGTTCCATAGCTTCTATTCATAAAAACCAGGAAATAACTTTATATTATACTGACCTTAAAAGGTCAGTATATTTGGTAATTGTTCCATAAAATTATTATAAAATGTTTATTTCTGGGATCAGCTCACATCAAGAGAATGTTGGCAATGCTGGTGTTATGGGCACTCCTTTAATGGGAGCAAAGGAGGAATTTAATAATCAAAGAATGACTCAGAAATATATCTGTTTCTAGGTTCATGAGTAATTTATTAGGAAGTAGGAAAACACTTATCGTGAAACAAAGACTATTGAAATAGCTATATTATTGCCAAGATATTTTTGTTATTTTGAATTTACTTGAATTCCAAGGTAACAGAGATAGTTGTTTTTTTGGTTTTTTTTGTTTTTTTTTAATCAATACAGTGCATGGAGTCTGGTGTACAATGAAAAAAAGTAGGAAAGTAGAAATTATGCCATATATTTATTATTATTATTATTCTATTGTTCATGTTAATTTCACTAGAAGCTTACATCCTCTTTAAAGTACATAACATTTTAATACTAGAAGTGTTCTCCTTAAAATTTTTATATGATACTATATTTGTGTGGTACTCTTCAATTCTTAAGAGAAACTTGGGTTTGTAAAAAGAATTATAGGATTCTTATTAATGACATTTTTTTCTGGCCTATTTCTCATTTATATGTATGTATTTTAAAAATTATGTTACTCAAAATTTCTTCTTTTCTGCATGATTCCTTTTTAAAGTTGCTAATTGTATAATTCAGAGTAATTGCTAGTATCATAATTTGGATGACATCAACACAAGATTATTTCTCCACAGATTTTGGGGGACTTGAACCCATAGTGAAATAGAACTGAGTACAGGCCATTTAAATATCAGAGGAACTACAAAAATCACAGTTGTTAAGTTTTTTTTATTATGGTGCAGATCATTGTTATGACACAGATCAGGCCAATGTTTCTACTTTGAGAAAAATGCCAGGTGTTTTATGATAGTACCAACAGTTTATGCTTTAACCTGAATGCACCTTATCCTTTTTTTTTTTAAAAGATTTATTCATTTTTATGCATATAGAACTGGGATAAAGGCCAGAGGTTCAGGGGCAGTGAGAGGATTCACCAGAGAAAGAGTGGGGAGCAGAACAGGCTGACTGACAAAGTACACTGCTGAGGGGAGCAGTGGGTAGGTCAAGAGAGGTCTGCTGCGCCATGTGGGTCACCTCTGGAGCTGGAGATCAAACTCATGCTGAAGTGACTTTAACTTCTTAGTGCTGTGCTCTAACCTGCTGCACCACCAGGGAGGATCTTATCTTTTTTTTATAAACTGCACTGTTGAACATTTAAAATGGCCTTCATAAATATCAGTTTCATATTTTCTGATAATTGGTCTCATAATCATTGTACAGTATAGTAAAATTATATCAAATAACTGGATAAACAACAGGCTGAACTTAGACTCTACATAAGAAACAAAGTATATTATCTAAGATATTTACTATAATCTTAGGTCTTCACTGAAGTTCAGCACATAGATGCTGTTGAGTGAAGATTATATTATTTAGGGGCTCACTGAGAAATGATAAAGTATTAAATGTTTAAAATTTGAATTCCATTAACTTAATGTTTCACCACAAATAATGGGTATTAGGACAATTATTGCAGTTCCCAGGCTCAGAAAGCAAAGCAAAGGAAGATGAAATTGTGTGTATTTTGCTGTAAGTCATGGTGAAATTAGAGATGAGTGTGGGAAAAATAGGTAAAAATGTTGAAAAACAATCAACTGTGTTTGTCTCATTCCAGGTGGCTGTTTCTTTGGTTGTGTTGTGGCTATTTGGAAGGTGAGTATTCCATATAGTATTGTGGCTTGTATTTTGCTTATATTGATTTTTTTGGTCTTATTAAATATTGTAAATCTTGTTGCTTCCTCTTCCACCCTCCCATCTCCCCCACCCCTGGTATTATTTCAGTGGATGATAGAGGTATTCAGATAAAATTGTGAACGTGTGTAATCCTGCAATTCCTTGATAGTCTCTAACTAATTGTGATTAGTTTCTATAAATGTAATAAAAATATATAAATCATTATACACAGTATTGTCTGTAAGAACTTAAAGAAGGTGAATTATACCTATCTCAGTGTTTGAAAAAGCCTTTCTTGCAATAATAGTAAATTCTTGAGATTAAAAGCACAAAGTGGGCTGTTAAATGCATTGTTTCTTTTGACTCAAATTAGACTTCATTTACATGTATTGGTAATGCAATAGAAAAATTTGATTGCCAAGTAAAAATTTTCCTTTTCCTCTACAGAGCATCTCCTTCAGACAAAGGAAATAGTACTAAGAGTGCAAATAGCACCTCTGGAGTGATCGTCACCCAAACCAGCTACTATTATGTTTTTTACATTTATGTGGGAGTAGCCGACACTTTGCTTGCTCTGGGATTCTTCAGAGGTTTACCACTGGTGCATAGTCTGATCACAGTGTCCAAAATTTTGCACCACAAAATGTTACATTCTGTTCTTCAAGCACCTATGTCCACTCTTAATGCGTTGAAAGCAGGTACTTGGCAGTTTTAGGGGTAGTATTGGTTTTTGCATGGAGGGATCTGGCTTCTGCTGACTCCTATGTCTGACATGTGCATTTCTTAGCTGCTGTAGTCTGTCAGATATGGTTGCTGTTCATATCACTGAATTAGCACAGTTAGAATATGATGCTAATGGTATCAGGGAAACTGAATCAGGCCCTTCTGGCTTACTTGTCCTCCTCTATTTAGATATTTGGTGTGGCCTACTCCAGGCATCATATTTTCAATGTATATCATTGTTTAGAAGACGAGATTTAAAGTAATGAAGAAAAATAGATTCTTTTACTGATCAAGTCTTATGATGGGGTAGATTAATCTAGTTTGATATAATAGCTCAAAGATGATCATATAAATTTGCTCCAGATTTTATTTATTTTTGCAGGTGGGGGCAATTCTCAAATGCATTTTTAAGTATTTCTGAACACCACCTAGAGTTTGGTTAACGAGTAGAAACATAAATATATAAGGTCTGAGTTATACTAATGTGTAACTGAGATCTGATGTATAATGTATAGGTGGTGATTATATGTATTAATGATTCTATATTGTTAAAATTTGCTGAGAATAAAATTTAAATATTCTTACCAAGAAAAAAAGTAAATAGGAAGGTGATGAATGTGTTAATTGACTCAGTAGGAAGAATCCTTTCACAATGTATTTGTACATATGTCTATATACACAACTATATGTGTGTATATATATGCATATATATAGAAAGAGAGAGACACTAACACAAGTACATACCAGCATATGAAAGTATCACATTATACACTGTAAATCATTTTACAGTTTTGTCAGTTATACCACAATTAAAAATAAAGCACAGAAAATGTTAGTGAAATAAAGGGAAAAAATTTAAAAAGCTAATGACAATGCAGTACTTCAATTGTAATCAATTCTTTGCTTTTCCTTTAGCAGATTTGCATTTAATGCATCTGTGGTTAGCAAGGGGTTTTCCCTGTTTAATTCTTTACAATGTGAGGCACTAAGTCAGGACACTTTACAATGTGAGGCACTAAGTCAGGAACTAATATGAAAAGGTATATAGAAAAGGTATAGAGGAATGCTGTTGTCCTGGAAAACTTCAGACAGGGAAAGGAAGTAGACAAATATTTGATACAGAACAAGACACAAAGTTCAAGGTTGAGATATAAAGAGTAATTTGTATCTAAAAATATTAAAATAAGATTTTTCCAGGTGAAAAAAGTGTTAGTGATGGTATTTAAAAAAATCGTCATATTTATTCACTAAATATGCCTCATTTTATTATACTTGTCAGAGCTAAGAAATTTTAGACCTAACGAGAATATCAAACTATTTTAGTCTAATGATATCATTTTTATGGGAGAGCTAAGGCCCAGAGAAGATAGGGGACTTGCCCAGCAGGCAGAAATGGCAGTGAGATATAAGGGAAAGCCCAGAGGCAGTTTGACGTTCAGCGCGGCTCCATTGGAATTGGTGGGCAGGGTATTCTTGCCCTGACTTCCCCATCTGAGACTGACTTCCATATGTGTCAGCAGAACAAAGAATAGTGATCAGACAGTTGTTGTGAAAATGAAACAAGGCAGTCTCCATGCTAGTTACTACAGAACCAACGTGAAACGCACGGTTGTTTCCTCCTGTGGTGCATCTGTGGGCTGTTCCCACAGGCGTGCACTTTCCATTCCTGCCCTGTACTTTTCAGAGATCCTTATTTCCTTAAACACCACTCAGTTAGTTCTGAACCTTCTCTATTTTATGTTTAGATGTTTACCATTTATGTCATTTTTGTATTCATTGTACTTTCTAAACATTAATCCAGTTTATAGGGTGATTCGGAAACACCTCTGCTTTTGCGTTCCACCTTATTTATGCTCCTGAGAACTGAAATAGCAAAATGATCTTGTAAGATCCATATGTTCTATCCCTGTTCCTGACAGTGTTTGCTTTAAAAAACAATCACTTTTACTGATTTTTGGTTTGTTCATCCTCACTATATTCTCTGCTGTACTTGGCAGCAGCTGCTGCTCCTGAATCATGTATATGCATTTCAATCTCGCCCACACATATCCTGTGGCAGTTATGTATTGTTCCTGATTTTCACCGATTTTCGCCTGACTTTCCTATGTTACTTTTATATGATCTTAAGATGCAGACACATAGTAGGTGTTCAGTAAAGTGTAGTGAGTGGATGAAAGTATGCGACTGCATATTTTGGCAGAGCACTACCATTCAAAAGATAATAGATAAAAGGAAAAGGCCCTAGTTTAAAAACTAATTTTAAAGTTTTGTTTAAAAGTATAAGGTCTGAGATCTAATGCGTAACTGAGATCTGACGTATAACGTATAAGGGGTGAATGGTTTTAAGAGCTTTATTTATGGAAAATACACAAATATGTTTAAATATACAAAAGAACACTTGGTAAAATTTAAGAGATAGTAACTTAAATCAGTAAACCTACATTGAAAAATTCCTACATATAAGGCTTTTGCTGAGGGCTGTGATGCCAAATAAATATGGCGTGATCCCATTGACCTCTTGGAATTTACGGTCTAGACCAGGAGATAAGACTGGTACACAAGCCACTGAGATATACAACAGGGATATAGTCATTAAACACAGGTGCTGACAAGAGGTATTAAAAGTACTAAGTTTATCCAGAGAAAGTAGGGCTTATTCCAGCTGCTACCCACACTGATGCTTTCTTGCAGAGAGGCATTTGAGTTGGGTCAGGAAAGAAACTTATATTTTAACAAGTAGAGAAGAGGGAGAAAGGTATTCAAGCACAGGAAACAACCAGAGGGAACAGGCAGGGAATTAAGGTTGATTAAAGAGTAGATCTATCTAGCTGAAACAGAATGTTTGACTAGAGGAAGCTTGTACTAGGTAGGTGATTTAAGGCTAATTTATGGAAGACATTAAATATTTAACTAACAGTTTTGGACTTTATCCTCCAATTAATGGAGGGTGATTGATCTGACTCAGTATCGCCATGTTTTTATGGTATTATTTTGTATTTTATCTAATTATATATCAAATTACATTTCTCAGGGACAGGGAGTACAACTTTTTCACATGTTACCTCATTGTCTAACAATGTGCCTGCCAGGTACTAGACACTGCATATAATTGATTTCATTAAAAAAACTATCAAACTTAGCAGTTGTGAATTTAGAGTTTGGAAGACAGCTGACACAGATTGCTAGTGAAAAAGGCAGAAAGAGATCACATAGCAAGGGAGGGATTGAGGTCAGCCATGGGTTCAGAAGTGTGTCAAAGGTGTAGTGATCAGAGAGAGACCATGTGTTGTGGAGAACAGGCGTAAGTAAATGATGATCTTATATCCAGAGTGAGAGTGAGATTGTAGCCATAAGAAGAATGCCCATTCCTGACCTAATCTGTAGTTAGGGCTCTGTTACAGACATTGACTTTTCCTGAACCTTGCAGCAGTCTATATTTATAAGGGTGTGAAGATGGGAAATGGTAACTTGGACAAGTGGTTACTTAGAATCTTTGTACAATACTAAATTTTTCTAAGTTTTTATTTGAGTTACCAATGCTTCTGTGAGAATCCCATCATGGCATTAAATATATTGATATCTTTTTAAGATTACTGTCTTTTGAGGCATCTTCCTTTATATTGTAGGTGGAATCCTTAATAGATTCTCCAAAGATATAGCAATTTTGGATGATATTCTGCCTCTTACCATATTTGACTTCATCCAGGTTTGTAAAAATAAGTATTGAATGTCTTTGCATTTGTAATTTTGTAATAATTAGAAAAATAGTAAGTGATTTTTGGTTTGTTTTTTTTTTTTGAAAAACTTTATTTACTTTATTTCCTTATACTTGATAATTTTCTGGCAAATACGGTTTCCGTATTCTAACTGTTTATTCTACAAATAACACTATTTATTTTAACCTCCAAGAGTCTCAGATCTCTAACCTGCAAATGGGCAAAATAAATTTGATGATTTCTTTCAATTCTAAAGTTGTATCCTTCAGATTGGCGCAGTAATCCTGAACCATACAGGACATATTTTAACTTGAAACCTAACAAAGAAAAACTTTACTATGGACTCTTTCTGATCACTATGTCTATGTGAGTGATTGCCCCCATCTCCCATGAAATGGAAGCCTGCATATTTTAAAGTACAAAAGTCTTCTATTTACAGCCTCAGAACTTTTAGGTTTTGTTTTTTTGTTTTTGTTTTTTGCCCTAACAATATAAGACACTGGAGTCCTGCTACTGAGATTTCTGATGTGTCTATCACATCTCTTTCCTATTCACTCTACTACTCCCATTAATCCCTTGCTTAAAAATTCTCAAATACTTAACTATCATTAATGAATTAAAACCCAAATTTGGTATTCACTGCATGATTTTTAAAAAATGATATTTATTTTACCTATCTACATACTTACTTTTTTTTACTTACTGATTTCAGGGCAATTGTTTGTGTTTGTTATTTGCTCCCATTTCAGACAGCTCTGTGGATTTAGTGTCAGGAATGTTTTTGAGATACATTGGTTAGTGAAAATATACCTTTCACTTCTTAGGGGCATGGGTGGATAGTGCCTTAAAAGTTTCATATTCTATTGATTTGAGTTTGGGTTTTTTTTTTGACTGGGGAAGTTTAAGATTTGGGTAAGGATGAATGGGAATTAAAAATCTGTACTCACATTTTCATTTAGTCCCTTTGTTTGCCTGCCAGCCTGCCTGTTTATCTATCATAGTCCTCTCACTAATATAGTCTGAAATAATTTGTTTCAAATCCACAGTGAATTGAGACCTTGGACAGAACTTAAGGCTTTTAGTATAATTAAAATATCAAATATATGAAAACAATGCCCTCGATTACTGTGCTTATTGATTAATTTTTTACCTAAATGCCCAAGTATGGCCTCTAATGGAGCAAATGGAGTTATTTTCTTCAATAGATAGACCTATTTTTACTTCCTTATGTATTTGGGTTATATTCCAAATGATTATGTTTCATTCCCTAATCGCTTCTCTAGCCAGGTGTGAGCTTGGTCATTTGACTACTCAGTTCCATCTATTTAATTAAAAGATGGTTACAGATACATTCATAGGAATCCACACCATGTCAGTATTATTAAAATGATCATCTTCAGGGCCTTCCCTCGTGGCGCAATGGGTTGGGACGCAGCACTGCAAACTAGCGCAGCCGCTTCAGTGTGAGTTTGATCCCTGGCCCTGGAGGTGCCCTGGCAGACCTCCTGATGCTCCCACTGCTCCCCTCAGCAGTGTAACTAATCCATCTGCCTGCTCTGCTCCCCATTCTGTCTCTGGTGAATCCTTTCACTGCCCCTGCACCTCTGGCCTGTGCCCTAGTTCTGTATACATAAGTAAATAAATCTTAAAAAAAAAGAAGAACTACATGACTTTCTTTAAAAAAAAGATCATCTTCACTTTCTTCAAGCATTGTTATAATTTAGCCACACCAAATTGGGACTATATGTTAGAGGAACACAGTGCTATTTGTAACTGTCAACAGCAAACCTTTCCTCTATTGGTCCCTGTGGAGTAGCTGAATGGTTCCATGCTTCCAGATGCCACAGCATTTGTCTTTCAGACATACTGACATTTGCATGATGGATGAATATTCAAATTAAATCACATTCCCTAGTTAATCATACTTGGAACTTACTTTTTTTTTTAAAAAAAAAAAAGATACTTATTCACACAGAACTGGGGTATAGGCCAGAGGTGCAGGGGTGGTGAGAAGATTTCACTAGAGAAAGAGCAGGGAGCAGAACAGGCAGATCAATGAAGTACACTGCTGAAGTTCGGGTCAGGAGAGGTCTGCCACACACCATGTGGTCACCTCCAGGGCAGGCGGAGATCAAACTCATGCAGAAGTGGCTTTAGCTTCTTAGTGCTGTGCTTTAACCCACTTCACCAACAGGGAGGCCTGGAACTTAAATTTTTATCACATTTCCCACAAAAGATCCTATTTCTGATAAGTGAGCGATCTAGGTTTAAATACTGCGGCTGGCATCAGTGAAGTCCCTTGTGTAGTTATTTGGGCATCTGGAACTTTCTTGTAGGGCACTTGCAGGGCAAGAATGGAATAGGAAAATGATATTGAGTAAAAAAAGTGGAATAGGAAAGACAATCTAGTACAAAGCACAGTAAGGATTCACCTGACTGTTTAATAGTGAGGGGCTCTTAGAATTTGATGATTGGAGAACTAGAAAAGTGTCCCTGTGATATCATCTGATGTTTAAAATGGAAACAACCCATTCAGAGAAGATTTATTAAATTAAGACTTTAATTACACCTCAATCCTTGCTCCCATCCACCAGAATGTTCACTATTTGATTGTTTCAGCTGGGAAATGCACGTATCACCCAAGGAAAGTGGTAGAGAACTAGCTTACCTGTTACCATATGAATGTTTAATAGGTTTATTTTTATTCTTTTATACTGTTTTAGCCCTATTGCTGATAGCTACTTTATACTTTTTTTCAAGTGGGTTAAATGGTAGCAGACTTTTCCTTTTCAACATGTGTCAAGAAGTAGCTAGATAGATTCCTGATTCTTGGACTGTGTGTACCATGAAATTTAAAATTAACTGGACACATTTATCAGTATTTTCTATTAAATCCAACATAATAATTTTTTTTTAATTTTTTTTTAAAGATTTATTTATTTGTGCATACAGAACTGGGGTACAGGCCAGAGGCTCAGGGGCGGTGAGAGGCTTCACCAGAGACAGAGTGGGGAGCAGAACAGGCAGATCAACGAAGTACACTGCTGAGGGAAGCAGCGGGTGGGTCGGGAGAGGTCTGGCTCGCCATGTGGTCTCCTCCAGGGCAGGCAGCAGGCGGGAATCGAACTCATGTGGAAGTGGCTTCAGATTCTCAGTGCAGTGCTTTAACCCGCTGCGCCACCAGGGAGGGCCAACCAAACCTATATTTAAGCCAATCTTCCACACTCAAAAAACTCCAAGAGCAATATCAATTTTCAGAAATTTCTTCGAATAGTCCTAGTACTCAAGATTCAGACTAAAATTATTTTAAAATAAAAAGGTCTTTTAAAACAGTCTAGATTAGAACAAATATCCACTTAAATTGTATTTATCATGTAGCATTGTTGAAGGTATGGGAAAAAAGACTATCCTAGATCCAAGAGCACCACCCTTTAAATCTTCATAAGTTGTTTTTACTGACATAAATGATGTTTGAATATTCATAGAACCTATGAAAAGTACTTTAAGATGACAGTCTTTTTAGTAGGAACATACTGCCCCTTATTTAGAATGTAACAGAATGTGGAAAAACTTTAGAAATATATTGCTGACATACGTTGTCCATTTTGCATTGTGAAACCTTTGATCACCAACATGTTTTATTTGACTTCCTACAGTTGGTACTAATTGTAATTGGAGCTATGACAGTAGTCTCGGTTTTGCAACCCTACATCTTCCTAGCAACAGTACCAGTGATTGCCGCTTTTATTATATTGCGAGCCTACTTCATCCACACCTCACAGCAACTCAAACAACTAGAATCTGAAGGTATGACACTGAATTGTAATGCTTGTCCAGAAATATTCCACAAAAGCCACTGGTGATTCTCTCTTGGAATATAGGATATTTATTCATAATTCACTTGTAGAGATCAAAATAGAAAATGAGTGCTACTACTATTTGCCAGACATCCTTCCTTTTCCTCCTGGGTCCGCTGCTTTGCATACCCCAAACACTGCTTGAGCTACTTGAGAAGCACATTTTTCAGTAACAATCTTAATATGGGGTCAGTTTTCAGGGGTTCACTTTCCAGCACATTTATACATTGAAGGTGATGAGCTAAAATAAGTCACATATACTTCATTGAGGAACTTGAATAAATTATCTTAATAAGCCAGAAAGAAAAAGAAAAATATTGAATGGTCTCACATATAGGAAAAATGTAAAGAAGCCAAATAAGGAATCAGGAAAAAGGTAGAAACTATAATAAAATCAAAATCATCAGGCAGCTATAGCTCAGAGATATTCTGTAGGGGAGGAGGAGGAAGAAGGATCAGGACAGGAGTGAGAAGAGCACAAGGGCTGTGGTGATGGTGCCCAGGTGAACTGGTGGTGGGAATTTCACGGGTAAACCATACATTGTACAAAAATAAATTATGAATAATAAAAATATTTTTAAAAAGGAAAAAAAGATTTTCTCTCTGCAATGATGTAGGATTAGCCAGAAAAACAACGCCCAGTAATAGAGAAGAAATACGATTAATGGTGATGATTTTATAATAATCTCTGATCTAAGGTAACCAAGTCAAAATTAAGGTGGTTGTGTTAAGACAAAATTCAAACTGCTTCTTACTCAAAGTATGGCAACAGAATGAAAAACTACTGTGAGCGATAGCATTTGTTGTATGGTTACTCGTTCGAGGTAGTATTTTTCAGTACCTGAATTATTTGCACTATTTACATGACTTCATTGTTTCTATGGGAATATTTTACAGGCAGGAGTCCAATTTTCACTCATCTTGTTACAAGTTTAAAAGGACTGTGGACACTTCGTGCCTTTGGACGGCAGCCTTACTTTGAAGCCCTGTTCCACAAAGCTCTGAATTTACACACTGCCAACTGGTTTTTATACCTGTCAACACTGCGCTGGTTCCAAATGAGAATAGAAATGATTTTTGTCATTTTCTTCATTGCTGTCACCTTCATTTCTATTTTAACAACAGGTACTATGAACACATTAACTAGTTAAGCATTTCATTGAAAACCTTGTCTACCAATAAAATGTTGTGTTCTAGGCTACAAAAATTACATGAAAATATTTAAAGAGAATTTTGGGAGTTCATTAATAAAAAAATGACTGATTTATTATTGAACAAATAATTTCCTTGAATGTCTATCACTTTGTTTTTGAATAAGTGAGTTCTTTAAATGAAAATGCTATACAATGCTAGCTCTGCTTTATAATTTAAAACACTACAACAGGGAGTATCAGCTAGCAAATCTGAGATTGAAATTAAAGTAAAATCATCTCTTGATTCATATTGGCAATAGATCTTGACTTAAAACAATCTCTTTATTAAAGAGCTCTCTGAGTCAGGGACAAGAAACATCCACAGCTTCCCTTACATCCCCCACCTAAAACACAGTTCTCCTCCCTGGTGAGTTTTGTTTTTTTAATTACCAGTTGGTGAAATTCATTGTTCTAATGTGAATATTGCAAGACTAAAAACTGCCACAAAAGTTAAATGAATTTTAATTAAGTGCCACATTCTTCATACACAAATGTCTTGAATATTAGGATCTGTGGCTAAAACATGAAATATTTCATTACACGAAATTGAAAGCTTCATTGCTTCTAATTTAAGAAGATAAATTATTGAAGTAGGAAGTATAAAAGTATTTTCTATATGTGACAGTGGATAGATACCCAGAACAATACGATCTGAGGAATTATTTTGATTGTAAGAACGGAGTCCTGCTCAATCAAAATGAATCAACTGGAGAGTACAGATGTGGAACCCCAAATAGGAGGCACCCTAGGCCTCTGAAAGGAATGGACGAGGCATGGAGAGTCAGATAAAGGTTTTCTTCCCATCTTGAGGTCAACTGCTGGCCTGAGTGCATTACTCTCTGTGACTTTTTCACTCACTTCTTTCTCTGAAGACTGGTTTTCCCATGGTACCAGACTGTAACTTAGTGACTGAGTGGCTTCTCTATTCAGGCTCCCCTAAGTTAGCAGCCAGCTTCCTCTGACCGAGTACAAAGTCTGGAGAAAACACAACTAGACTCAGTTCCTCTCTGGGGTTTAACAGAGCTGCTGTGAGAATAACAGATTTCTCATATTCATTGTTTTCTCAGCTGGGACCATGGAAAGTGGAAGAAAGGAATCCAAGAGGTCAGAAAAATGAAATAAATCCTTAGCAGTACAGTAATTTGGGGTTAACTTTTAGAAAAAAATATTTTTTTTTGTTTTTTTTTGGTTTTTCTTTTAGGTTCATAGTTAAGTTATTTGAAGTAGGGTCCAAGAAGAAAAATTTACTACCGATTCAAACTAATATATCATATGCTGTATCATAACATAATGGAGGCCTGCTTCACAAGGGGTGGTAGAGCATTTAACAGTCAGTATAGTTGAGGATCTAATGATCAGACAAGTAGGGTGAATGTTAGTGACACAGTTAATATTAACCCTGCCTAAATTGATTTTTTTCATCAGTACTAACTTGTACTCAATAAATTTCTCTAGGTTCCCATTTTCCTCATGTATAAATAGATATGATAATAGTACTATGGGCAGTAGTAAATGTGATAATTGTACAAAACATTTAGTATACAATAATACCCATGGTAAATACCCATAAGCTTAATATTGCCTAACATTATTATTATTATTAAATAATCTCATTATTATTATTATTAAATAAGCTCATCTGAGTGCTCAAAATGAGCAATATATTGGGATCCTGAATAGTGCTTACATATTTAAAATAAATGCTCTAATATTAAAAGCACATACCTGATATTTATGGCTTGTCTTCTGCTAGAAGAATTGTAGAAGCAAATTTTTTCAATTAATAATAATAAGGTGAAATATTTCTCCCAATTTTAGAGCCTGGTGCTAATTTTATCATACATCATAAATTAATTGATTCTCAATTTCATATCCTGAAATTATTATAATTTAAGAGCACTCATATTAGAAAATGTTTATGGCCATAAATATTGCATATTTATGAATTTTAATTAATGGCATTTTACGTTCTAAGTAAACATTTAATTGTTGCTCTTCCTGGGTGAACTCATCATTTTTATTTTAACCTAGAGAGGAGTCTGTCTTGCAAATGGCAGGTTCATGATTTTTGATATCACTATGAAACTATGTCAAATTCTTCCCAGTAACATCTGATTAGCATAAATTTCAGTGCAAAGGCACAAAGCTCAGATAAACAAACATCTGTAGATGCCTCTCAAATGTCATCTTTGTTTTGCTTTCAACTTCTTTACAGAGTGGCTCATTGGGATTTTTCCCCCCATTTTCCATTATAGTCTTTAAAGATATTAGAACTCACAGAATAACAGTAGAAATGATAAACATGATATCTACTCAGAACCAATACCCCCTTTAATAATACCCCCTTTAATGGCTGAAGCTTTTTTTTTTTTTAAGATTGATTTATTTATTCATACAGAGCTGGGGTACAGGCGAGAGATGTGGAGGGTGAGAGGATTCACCAGGGACAGAGTGGGGAGCAGAACAGGCAGATCGAGGAAGTACACTGCTGAGGGGAGCATTGGGCGGGCCAGAAGAGGTCTGCAGCACCATGTGGATCTCCTCCCGGGCCTGCGGGGATGGAACTGCGGGAGTGGCATAAGCTTCCTAGTGCAGTGCTTTAACCCGCTGTGCCATCAGGGAGGGCCGGCTGAAGCTTTTTAAATAATTTCAGTCACTCTTTGGTTTCAAATACTGGCTGAATACGTAACCGTAAGCAGACTTAATTACTTTTGGTAGATGCTGTGGTGACGTAAGATAAAATATGGTTAAGCTTCGCACAGATTTGAAATGTAACTTTACTGTGATATAATAGAAGAGGTTTAAATAACAAACTGGTTCATAGGACAGGAAAATAACATTTAAAATATTTTTTCTACTTAAAGGTGAAGGAGAAGGAACAGTTGGCATAATTCTCACTTTAGCCATGAATATCATGAGTACATTGCAGTGGGCTGTAAATTCCAGCATCGATGTGGATAGCTTGGTAAGTAATTACTGTAAGTAATTACTGTGTTCTTTAACTTTTATGAAAAAAATCCAGGCTTGTATTCACTTAATTGCTTTTCAAACTTTCCACAACTTTGACTTTACAATTAAAATCCTCATGTGCTTCACATCTGCAGATAAAGCCATTGCTTCGCCTTGCATATACACAATTCCTTTCTCTTTGACATGTTAATTTTCTTGTTTTATGTTGCAACCTCTACACATTGATGTTAGAAACTTTTCCTTGGGCCATTTATATTCTTCATTTGTATTCTTCACTGAAGTTTGTTTAAGGTCTTCTTACTTCTGTAGTTTTCCACATGGACATCTTGGGCTTTGTGACCTGTCTTTTGACATTATGTCTTTCATTTCCTGGCATGAAAGAACCTTTGCAAAGGCCTATTGAATCATAACACAATCTTATTTTAAAAAGTATTTCTTTTGTCTGTTTTTCAAAGTGATTATATTAGTTTTCATTTCTCTGCCAACTAGCACAAATGGGCATTTATGTAATTGTTTATTCACATCATATTGCTTTCACCCATGCAATTGACAGTATTATACAGTAAGCATAGCATTGTCATCTTGGTGTATGCTGAGAGAAGGAGGGGAGAGCTGTGCCCTCAAAATTCAAATTCGTGTTTCTATGATGTTAACACTAAAGGTGCTGTGACTTCTGAAGTGAGAACAACATATGTTACTTAACTGACCTGTTGACTGAATTAGAATAATTAGAATAATTAGAAAATATTTTGTCCAACACTTTTAGTTTTTCAGTGCAGCACTATAGAGGGAAAAAAGGCCTTCAGATTTGGAGAGAATCTATCTCTTTTCCATCTGACACATGGACAGTCAAACATCAGCAAAAATGTGAAGTTACAAAGATGGCTGTAGGACTCTTCGGCAGCACTCATTGTTTGTGCCCAGTCCACTGGGCCCTCTTCCTTTGTGCTCACCCCTACCTTCTCTTTCTGGTAAGCTCAGTCCTTCACTCATATGTCAAGGGTTTGTTTTGCTTTGTTTTTGTCTGTTTCTTTGCTTTGCTTCTTTATATTCCACATATGATTGAAATCATCCTGCATTTGTGTTTCTCCTTCCAACTTATTTCACTTGGCAATATCCCCTCTAACTCCATCCATATTATCCAAATAGCAGGATTTTATCTATTTTTTGTAGCTAAGTAGTTTGCCATTGTGTATGGCAAAAGATTTACTACATCTTCTTTATCTACTCATCTGTACTTGGACATTTACACAATCGCACTAATATCATTTCCATCAATCCACGACTCATGCCTAACATTTTGCCAGAACAACTACCTGTGTCCCTTTCAACTTCTCAGTAGTATTCATGCCATGGACAGAACTTCTTCTTATGACACTATCCTCTTTTTTTTCTCTGATGTTACATCTACCCTGTCTTCTTCTGCATCCTGTTCCTCTTTGCCTCTCCACTGACGCTTCACTTCTCGGGAATGTCTAAATGTTAGCTATATTTTAGCCCTCTTGTATGTGTACATTCTCCTAATTGTTATCTAATCTCTGCTTCAAAAACCATCTTTCAGTGAATCACATTCTTAGCTCTAGTTTACATCACTCACTGCTTTCTAAACATACTCAGCTATTGACTGGACTCTTGTGTGTGTTTATAGAACACAGTGACAGTAAATTTGGCATTTTTAAGCATAATTTCTTATCCAGAGTTTCCTTAAAATACACATGGGGTATCAAGAAGCCATTAAAAGGAAATAGAGTATCTATCCTACCTTATCTGTGTAACTTTCTGTAGCAGGAGAGGGTAACAAAATATCATCTGAACACTGTCTCTTTTGAACATTGTAGTTTAATGAGTCATGTAAATCATGAATCACACTAGCAATTTAAAAGTATCAAACTTATCATAGTCTACTTTAATAATTCCCACTAGAAACCCCCATATGAAGGGATTTCTAAATCACAGTGTTTTAAAAACTCTTACTTCTAATTCACTTTCTATTTTTTAAAATATTTATTTACTCATACAGAACTGGGGTACAGGCCAGAGATGTGGAGGGTGAGAGGATTCACCAGAGACAGAGCGGGGAGCAGAACAAGCAGATCAACGAAGTACACTGCTGAGGGGAGCAGTGGGCGGGTCAGGAGAGTTCTGCCACGCCATGTGGATCTCCTCTGGGGCAGGCGGATTGAACTCATGCGGAAGTGGCTTAAGCTTCTTAGTGCAGTGCTTTAACCCGCTGCGCCACCAGGGAGGGCCCTTCACTTTCTATTTTTAACATAAATTGTGTGTCTGGCTATTCACTTCACTTGCCTTTGTCATACCATTCTGTAGAGGAGATAAGAAATATTAACACCTTTGAATTCTACATCTCAAATACTACATTAATTATAGTTGTTATTATTAAAGCTGTTTTTTTTCTTTGCCCTTTTAACTAACAAAGTTGTATACCAGTTTATTTTCTTCGGACTCATACATGCTAACAATTTTTAGTATTGTAAGGCTTTTCTGTCTCCTTTTCTTAACTATCTAAGCATTATGTATCTTAAATAGATAATACATACCTACATAAATGGATGAAGATTAAATGAGAACTAGAAAGGTGAAAACATGATGTTACAAACAATTATATTAAGTCATCTCATGACTGAGAAATTGCCCACACTTTTTCTCATAGCTTGAAAGAGACAGTTGACCTTTTCAGAATTGTCTTCCAGTTAGTGAGCACAACTAAAAGATCTGAATACATGATTATTCTGTTTCCTTAATGCTCTAACTTCAGTAACAGATAAATGATTCTTCTTTTTCTGTGTGTTCCTAAAAGCCCAAAAGGGAAGCAGTACCCAGGATGAGTAGAGAAACTTGTGCATTTAGAGGAATCACACTTTTATTCTTGTCATAAGTTTCCAAAATGGTCTTGTGAGATTGATGCAATTTGAGAGTTTTTCTGTCAATAGAAACTTCCTCTGTTTTCTCTTTGTCCTTTTATTGCCCATGTTTATTTTGGGTTCCAGTAAAGATCAAGTGACTGATTATACAATGACCAACAAGAAACCTGAGGGGAACAGAGGAACCTGGCTTTTCTTCATTGCTCCTGGTGCCTTATTATCTTTTGTTGGATGTAGTTTTCTAGTGGCCCTCTTGATCTTGTCTTTTTTCCTGTTTCCACAAGTCTTTGTGGTCTATTTTCCACTTACAAGACAACTTTCCATCCGGTCATTCTCTACCTTTCCTATGGAATGGCTTCCACTTTAGAATCTACTCTAGGTTTACCACCAGGAAGTTAGGCCACCTTAAGTAAGCCATTACCCCCTTCAGACCTTCACTTTTCTTATTTGTAAAATGGAAGACTTTGGCTAGAAAATTTCTAAGGTACCTCCTTGTTCTGGCATTCTCTTCTGAACCCCTTTCAAGTGAAAGATTTCAGTTCTTCATTGGCATGTGCACATACATAATTCCAGAATTCATTCATACCTATCAGTATCTCTAATATAAAATTCCAGTGATTACATTATTTACCACTGTAATTGTCAGAACTGAATGTAGGACTCTGAACCAGTATGTTATTAGAACCAAGAGAGAGAAGAAAAGCACTGTTAAAACATTCTCTGAGAGAACAATGGGAAATTTCTAGGAGAGGCTAAGATAACCCTAAAGGATTTCTGGAATGTTAGAAAGATTGGGCAAGTTGTTGACTTTTAGATTTTTCTCATTTTTACCAAGGAGGAATGGCATAGAAAAGGAGTTCTCAATTTGGCAGCACATGAAGAAACTTTTTTTGTTTTAAAGTTTTATTTATTTATGCATACAGAACTGGGTCACAAGCCAGAGATGCAGGGGTGGTGAGAGGATTCACCAGAGACAGAGTGGGGAGAAGAATAGGATGATCAATGAAATACACTGCTGAGGGGAGCAGCGGGTGGGTCAGGAGAGGTCTGCCCCACCATGTGGATCACCTCCGGGGCTGGGGATGAAACTTGCACTGAAGCGGCTGCAGCTAGCTTGCTGTGTTGCCTACTTACCCGTTTCCATGTGATTTGCCACAAGTTAGAATTTGCCAAAGATTTGTCATTTGTGTAGACCCTCAACTGTAAACTATAATAATTTAGGAAGACTTGAGACTTAATAATACTATGTAATACTATAGAGTACTTTGCACTTATACTGCTTATAATGCACATAAATAAGGCCCATAACTAACATTTTATGTGGATTGTAGTATATGTGATAAATGTAGAATGGTAGTCTGGGATTTCAAGACATACAGTCTGTTTTCATTGTAGCCATTGTCTCATAAACATGTATGCAAGGTCTAAAGATGATGCTAATGATTCCAACTTGGTCCTGGGATTCAGTGAATACTACAGAACATTTATTTTGGCCCCTCCAGGAAGAATCTGTGATTTTAAAATGTTAACCCTACCTTTTATGTAGTTTACATTATGAAAATGTGATGTTTTTCACTGTCAATTTTCCAAATAAAACTTTCACATATTTTTTGCAACCTTTATCTAACAACCATTTATGAAATCTCTTTACAGTGTTGCCAGCTAGACCTCAGGCTTATGAAATATTTATCATGACTTTGGGGTATTATGGCATGTAGCTTGATAGTTAATGCATAATATTAATAGCTTGTTTGCTAAATAATGAAAAGAATAAAAGGAAATAGAACAAAAAGTTTTGTGAGTAAGAAGATCTGGCTTCCTGATACTCTAAAAAAGGTCTTTTAAAGTTTCTTTTTCTTCTTTGTCAACAAAAATTGAATAGGAAAATCAAGAATCATTTTCTTTTTCACATAAGACAGGTCTCTTATAAGGTTGAATATAGCTGTGGAGCTTTTTGTTAATAACATCACACTTCTAAAAGAATTTGTTCTTCTGAGGCTTAGATTAGTAACTTTAGACATTATTACAGAGATAATGAGATTCAGTTTTAAAGCTCGACTCGGTAGAATTTTTGGATCATAATAAATTTTTAAGTGGAGAAACCAAAAATTTAAAGCAGATGATTCTCAAGCAAAAATTTCACCTCATGTTGGCTAAACTTGAATTTTATGTAAGTTTGTACAAATTATGTAATGTTTTCATCTTCTCATGAAGAATAGGTTGATTACTTCATTGCCCAACTCTCATTTTGGCTTCAGTATTTTTTCTCAAAATCTAAAACAAAGGCTTCCACCTAAGCTGGTGATGGTTTCAACAAAGACCATTGTCCGAAGTCCAGCAAAGCCTCCCCTCACACCTCCTCTGGTAGTCCTTCTCTATGCAGAGAAGCAGTAGCTTAAGGTGGAGCATGCCTTTCTACTGATGATTGCCAAGTTTGAATTTCTATCTTGCTCAATATAAACAGCTGAACAATGGCAGTTTTTACATATCATTCAAAAATGCTTAGAAGACATTTTAAATCGGAAAAAGTGTTGATTTAGCTTAAAATGCTCAATGAGACACTTCTCCAAAAAGGAAATGCAGATGGCCAACAAGCATATGAAAAAAATGTTAAGTATCACTTGTAATAAGGGAACTGCAAATTAAAACCACAATGAGATACCACCTCTCACCAGTGAGAATGACACATTTTAAAACAACAAATGTTGGCGAGGATGTGGAGGAAAAGGAACTCCCCTTCACTGCTGGTGGGAATGAAAACTAGTACAACCACTATGGAAAAGTGTTTGGAGGTTTCTCAAACTGCTAAAAATGGAGCTTCCATATGAACCAGCAGTCACACTACTAGGTATCTACCTAAAGACACCAAGACACTGATTCAAAAAGACACCTGTACCCACATGTTTATTGCTGATTTATTTACAATTGGAAAGACATGGAAACAACCTAAATGCCGAAAAGGTTGTCCCTTATCATGCTCACTAACTCTGAGGAACTGATGTTTCTAATTTAAAGGTATATACTGCAGGTAGACTGAGTCTTGTTCTTCTTGCCCCTGGCTGCGAGCAACTCAAAGATGAGCTCTCTTTCAAGTCATAAAGTTCCTGGATGATCACAGAAGTAGAATTACTTGACTCCTTTTCAAGGAAATACAGGCAGCTTTGAAACTCTGTAAAGGTATCGGAGTCTGTACATGCCAAGCACCCATGTCCTTATCACTGCTTCCTTGCCACGCCAGGCCCATCTCTTTCTTGGCTCTACTGTGCAGATCTACTTGAGGGTAGATCTAGAGATCAGTTGCAAGTCAGGACTCTATTTTAGAGGGACGGATATCTAAGCACTCTCATAACCCCCATTCATGAGTTGCATTGGGAGGTAGGAGAGGAGCTATTTCTCAACCATCATAATTCCACTATGGCTGTCCATTTTGCATAAACATTGTACTTTGACTCCAATTTTAACTTTTGAATCTGAAAAGTCATGCGTGTTAGATTTTTCAAACTATAAGCCTGTGACTCTAAAAGCCAATTTAAAAAACTTGTAAAACCAGACTGATTTTCTGTGGTCTGGTTTTGATGTGGCTTCTCTTTTGAAATGCAGTGAAGGTAAAATGTAAATTGAAGTACAGGTGTTAGTTAGTAAATCATATTATTTGGCCACATCTTCTGTCCAGTTGTGGCCTTTGGGGTCTGCAATTTAAATAATGTAGGTATCTGAACTAGCCACTTTTCCTCCTGTCAGAAAGTGTTCTAGCCCATTTAATTGGATGAATGTCTGCTCATATGCTATGGATGAGTGCCATGGTGAAGATGAGTTTGTTCTTGGTCAGGGATATTTGATCATGCTCTGAGTAACTAAATAGCTTATCTTGGGGTCACTTTAAAAACTATATGAAAGAAGGCAAGTTGAACTTTTTCGATTTCTAAATTTGTTAGGAATGTTTCATTTGACATTAGAAGTTCTGCACTCACTCTCAGTTGTGACTTTCATGGATAGAGCATATATACATATGCTGTGCCATGCATAGCACACAAAAGTTATATATGCCTTTTGATGCTGCCAAAATAGTGATTAGTGATTTTGAATGGCTCTATAGTCTAATAATACTACATATAATTTTGAATAATTTAGATAACATATTTAAATGATTGTTGGAGTTATGAAGATAGGAAGAGGCTGTGTGTCTTCCCTCTTCTTTCTCAAAGATTAGCATCAGATTCGTCACAGAATTTACATGCAGAAATATCAAGTTTCAACTTATTTTTGAAGTCAAGTTATATTTCTCTATTTCTCTCAGTTACTTCAAGAGAATGATGTTGTTCTTATGTAGGATAAATATGAGGTATTTTAAGTGCATTTGAGCTATCCCTCTGGCAGCTTCATATCAGTGATAGTTACAATTCTAATTTGTCTTACAGACCTTAGTTAGACTAGCAGTTCTCTGTGATGAAAATTAATGACAGTGAAATGCAAGACTATACTTTAATTCAAAGTTAATAAAAAATAACTGAATCAGTATTTAATAACCCTTGAAAGTCATCCATAATTTCGAATTTAAAATATTACATGTGGGAACAATAGTGATTATGTGCTTTCAATTTCCCTAGAGTTATTTATGATGAATGTGGGCTTTGGACATTTTACTCCCATTAACAGTGAGTTTGCCTTAAAAGGATTTTCTTCTTGAATAATTTTTGAGATAATTCAAAGACATTTTCAAGATCAACATAGAACTACTAGGTAGAACAAAGAACTTCACAAAGAGCGGTCTTGATCAGCAGCATGTGAAACAAGCATTGAATATCTTTATGATAGAAATTTTTATATTCAATATAGAATAATTCTCTATGTTTCTCTGATTCACCTACCAGTCAGTCCATGCCATTTCATCTTTTGATAATGAAAAATAAAAAAAAAAGAAGCAAATACCACAAATTTTTCTTGCCTTTTATTTATTTTTTTTTACAAAGAATCATTTGTGATAGTATAAGCCTTATCTAGTAATAAGCTAAATAAATATATTAACATTGTCAAGGAGATTAAATTCTTGACTGAGTAAAGTCAGAATCAATAGTCACCATTAAGGTAATAGTTAATACCTGCCCAGTAAATAGTTAAGACCTGGGAAGAGAGGAGCCAGAGGATCAGGAAATCCTTTAAAAATAGAAATTGAGGCCCTCTCTGGTGGAGCAAGGTTTAGGACTTAAGACTCAGCACTGCAAGCTGGTGGCAGCTGCTTCAGTGAGAATTCGATCAATGGCCCCGGAGGTGACCCACATGGCACAGCAGACCTCTTCTGTCTCACCCACTGCTCCCCTCAGCAGTATGCTTCATCAGTCTACTTGTTCTGCTTCCCAATCTGTCTCTGAATCATCTCATGTCCCCTGCAACTCTGGCCTACACCCCAGTTCTGTATACATAAATAAATAAATCTTTAAAAAAATTAAAAAATAGAAATTGAGTGAATTCAAAGTTTTCCTCTCTTTTTTCTTATTCATTTATTTTTTTATATGTAGCGATTTGTATATTTATTCCTTTATTCATCAGTTCATTTATTAAATATTTATTGGTGACCATGACATGCCAGGGTATTTTCAAAATGATATTCCAAATTCCAAATTATAATTATTTAGAAAAATATAATATGTCAAATAATTTAAGCACTTTAAAAAATATTTGAACTCTTTTATTTCTGTATACACTGAAGATATACTTTATTAAATGTTACTTGACTAGATTCATAAAGAAAATGCATATTTAATTTCAGTAGAACCCTTAGATGGAATCTAAGGGTTTTGTTCTGCAGTGGGAATTGATCTTTAAGTAAGTTAGGCTAAAAACATAAATTCTTAGCTACAAATATATGCCAGTGACTTCAGTTTGTTTGAAGATTACTATGAAGTTATTCAAAATTTACTAACCACCAAGAGTCCACAATTACTAAATTGTATGTAGTTACTAAGACATTTTGAGAGAAATACAAGAAACTTCAGTAGTGATTTTGAGGTATAGAATGTTTCATTATAATATCCCAGTTGTACAACATTGTGCAGTGCTACTAATAAGTAGAAAAGAAATTTCTCCTTGATGTCATCTATTCCCTTGCTTATAGTTTGACTATTTATGTGTGGCTTGCATAACTGAGACTTAAGTGATCACAAAAATAAACATGTCTGTACAGAGCCCATTTATATAAGTCCTAGTTAATTCTCTTTGGTTAAGCTTTTAATTACACCCAGTTATTTCCTGTTAGTTCATTGAGAAACCTTCTGACAAATAACCAAGTCACAACTAGCTAACATCACATCTTCTGAGTTATTCTTTAGGAAACATCAAACTAATTTTGATATTGTCTGCAGCTCTTAAATAAACACAAAATAATATATTGTTATTTTCATTTCAGATGAGATCTGTGAGTCGAGTCTTCAAATTTATTGATATGCAAACAGAAGAAAGCAGATCTATCAAGTCAGTGAAACCATGCAAGGATGGTCCACTCTCAAAAGTTATGATTATTGAAAATCAGCATGTGAAGAAAGATGATATCTGGCCCTCAGGGGGCCAAATGACTGTCAAAGACCTCTCAGCAAAATACATAGATGGTGGGAATGCCATTCTAGAGAACATTTCCTTCTCGATAAGTCCTGGCCAGAGGGTGAGATTGAAACACTGCTTGCTTTGTTAGGACTATTCAGAAAAAGGAACCCACTGGCCCAAGACAATGTGCTGGAATCCATTTGGAACATTATTATACAGACTAGGACCAGTGTTGAATGCACATATTTTAAATTATTATTTGGAGTCATTAATTTTTCAAATGAAATTTAATTTGAACCTAAAAGTAGGTCAATTTTAAATGTGATTCTCTTTCCAGAATACCTAATTGGTTATTAAGTGACCACTAAAGAAGTTATAAATAGACCAATAAATACTAAATAATGTTTTACATTTGGCATCTTGAAACTAGCTTCCATTTGAGATAAGAGATTATCTTGTTGCTGACCCCATCCAGTATCTCACATTTTACCTCGTGTACACTTTGTCAAACAAGTGGTACTTTTTTTTCTTAGCTTTTTTTCGATTTATTTATTTGTAGTGTTCATCAAGTTATGGATTATTAAGTTTTTCCCAATAACTTGCTAAGGGAAAATTATCTATTGAACAATAATTTCACCATTTAAAAATAAAAAAAATGATGTTTTTATGCGAGGCATCATTTTGAAGTGTCCTTATGTGTCCGTAAGTGTCCTTAAGTGACCCCGGCACGAGGCTAGACTAGTGAAGACCCTGGAACATACTGGTTCTGAAACTGCTGCTTGAAGCAGGGACCAGTGACTCTCCCAACTCTTTACATTCTACAACTGTTTCTCCTCCGCAAACCTAGATAGAGTATTGTTTTGATTTCATTTCTTTTTCTTTTCTAGGAAATAGAATGTAAGGTAGGGAATTCTTATGAATGCTGAATTTTAAAAAAATCATCTCTGGGTTTAAGTTCCAGTAGAATTTTTTTTGACTATTGAGACAATGGGCGGTAATTATTGTTTAGGCCACCATCACTGTTATAGGCACAAACTATTTTCACTTGCATTTGACAGTGGGTTTAAGAATATTTGATTATTTAAAGCATTTGAAAGTCTGTGGTTTTTTTTTTTTTCCTTTACTGTGAGGTGCTGAATGAGGTTGGTCTCTTGCAAGCAACATTCCCTAGCTTGGAAGCCTTTCTAGAGTTGGTGTCTTTTAACTTTCGACACTGAGCCCCCAGCAGTTTGTCTGTTAACAATTGTATTTTCTGGTTCTGGATCATGGGTTTCTACTCTGGTAAATTGTGGTTCTATTTCTTTGTCTCCTTAAATTCTGTGTAGAAACTTTGCCCTTTGACTTCAGTTTTCTCTGACAGAATTAAGAAGAGTTTGATTTTTCCGTTTCTCTGCTTTTTACTTATCAGGACAGAATAATGTAATGGCATACAAATTCCTTACATGTCATTTGGACTAGAAACTGGAAGCCTATTTTTCATCTTTTTACCCCTTTGCACCTACTTTATTAAATGCTAACTATGTAAATGGATGCCTTTCCTACTTCTTAGCCTACTTTTAGGTCATATGCTTCTTTAAAGAAGAAATTGATTCTTAAAAGTGTTTTTCTGAGTCTGAGATGTTGATTCTTTTTTTTTTTTAAAGATTTATTTATTTATTCATACAGAACTGGGGTACAAGCCAGAAATGCAGAGGATGAGAGGATTCACCAGGGACAGAGTGGGGAGCAGAACAGGCAGATCAACGAAGTCCACTGTTGAGGGGAGCAGCGGGTGGGTCAGGAGAGGTCTACCACGCCATGTGGTCACCTCCGGGGCAGGCGGGGATCGAACTCATGTTGAAGTGGCTTTAGCTTCTTAGTGCTGTGCTTTAACCCGCTGCGCCACCAGGGAGGGCCCTGAGATGTTGATTCTTAAAGTGTTATTCTTTTAAGAATGTCATTGTCATTTCTACCACCTTGTCCTTATAACCCATGGCGGTATCTTAAAAATTATAATATGACGCCCCAAACGTACTTCTTGCATAATGAGTTGTGAAGTAGATTCAAGTTTAGTATACTATTTTCAGTCCCAAAGCACTGTCAGCTCAGCTGTGATCTAATTAATCCTTTTTTTTTTTTAAGCTTGGAAAAGGGCCTAAATAGCATTGCTTATTTATTTTTAAATGGATTTCATTGTGCTTGTTTATGTGGTGTGTCTGAGTCCTTTTGGACAGCTATAATAAACATAGGCTACTAAGCTCATTGATTAATAAACAACAAAAATTTATTTTTCACAACTCTGGGGGCTGAAAAACTCCACCTCCCAATACCATTACAAGAGTGAGGGGTCAGGATTTCCACATAGGAATTTGAGGGTATATAAATACTCAGCCCAGATCATGGTGAAAACATTGAAAAATAAATTGTTCAGTCTTCATATTAAAATATTTTATTCATTTTGGTTGCTTATGGAAATAAGTTTGTGTTACTTTATTAGGTACCTATTTACTTCACAGAACCTGAACTTGAAATTGTATTTTCAGTACATAAGGAATATAATATTTTTGCAACCTTTACTTTAAAAGTCTTTTTTTCTTTTCATTTCTAGTTTTTCTTAAATTTTTTTAACTTTTTTTCTTAAATTTTTTTAAACCTTTTTTGGTTAAATTTTAATGTTTGGGTTGCTGCCCCCCAAATGAAATATCAGTTCTTTTTTTTTTTTCCTTTTCTTTTTCTTCTGAAAATATCAGCTGATTTTAATTTGGAGCCAGGTTCTTCATGATCGAGATGGACTTAGCAAAGTGCTTCAGATGACAACTTGTAGATATCACAACTGGGTGTCCTGTGACTAAACAGCTAGTTAGTTGTACTTCAAGGTCTGCTCTTGGGTGAGCTTAACTCCCTTCTTCACTTGTATTGTCTTCAATATGTTGAGATGCTAGAAACAATATCAGGGATTCAGAACAAATTAGCATAAGCACCTAAATACCTGCTTGATTTGTTAAACCCTGTCCTCTATTGATAGAAATTGGTGTGAAGTAGCTGTATCACTCAGTAAATCATACTGATTTATGAGGAACACATTCTCAAGAGCTGTTTTCATTAATAATAAACAGATATGCCAGAATATAAAGGGCACATTTTTTATGACTTTGATAAATTCATTTAATTAAAATAAAATTTTAATTGGCTTGGCATCTTGATTTCTGGAGACCACAAAGAAATGAAAATAATTGCAATAGGTTTCAATCTGTTGCAGTATTAAAATGGTAAATAAGCACTCTGACAAGAATGTACTAAGAATGTTCTATTCATGGTACAATGCAATTACAAGTAGCACCAAACTCAACACTGTTTAACTTTCCGCATCACATTTTGATTTATCTTGTTCCAAAATTCTCAGAGAGGAAGTACATTGAAGTTACTAGAAAACACTGACTTGGAATTAAAAGCTTATTTGTGGAAGTACTTTGACCTTATTCAACAGACCACTGGAAAGTCTGGAAAAACAAATCCTAAAAAGAATTATTATGGTGCCAACTATATAAACAACCAGAAAACTTTGTTAGGTCCAAATCAGTAAGATTCTCTGCAGCTGAAAAGTGTGTCAGACATCATACATTACCTGAGGTTTAATCATATAAGGAAATCAAAGCAATACTAAAATCTTTGAGGTTAAACAAACGATTTACAAATTGCCTTTCAACTGCATCTTATTCTAACATAAACACCAAGTTCTCTAAAAAGTTCAATTATTTGCTTCTTAAGGAAAAAGATCATGACCATTTAACCTCATCCTTTGGACTCTGGCTAGTGATACAAATTTAGATCTCAAGCCACCTTTTTTTTATCACGAATTCTTTAAATGATTAAAACAAATCACTTAATTGAACTTCCCTTCTCTTCTCCCTTCCTTGCCCTTACAGTGCATATTCATATTGCATGTATAAAGCTTTACTGTTACACTTGAAAAACACAGCATACCTGTGTTTGTGCAACACTAACTGATTCAGAATGAGAAATGTGCATGTGAAATTCCACAAGATTTTTAACATAGGAGCTGACCTGGTAATTCACCAAAATTCAGTTCCTTCCCCCTCCTCCTTTCCTTTCCTTCCAGCCTGCTGTCCTTTTTGTCATTCACCCATCCATCTGTCCATCCATCCATCTATCCATTTCTTCAGTCATGCTTTCATTTGACTATTACTCAGTCAAAGTAAATACTGTATTTTTTTGAACACTTTATATACGCTGATCACTATTCTAAGTGCTGAGAATTCAATGGAAAACAAAATATGCTCCCCTGTTTTTGTGGAACTTATATTCTTGGAGTAAACATGAACAATAATCAAGGAAAAAAATTCAGTAATGTAATTACCAGATGTGATTATTATTATGAAAAGCCTTAGTTGAAACTTTGTATATAATAACTGAACTTATTTTGATTTTTTCAGTTATTTTGGAAAACAAACATTTGTGAAAGTCTCATTATAGGGCCCATGTGGTGAATAGGAAGACATTCGTGTCATTAGTGTTTACTAACTAGCAACCCAAAGTTTATCATCAAGTTCCAATAAGTATTCAGTAATTTGTTATTGTTGTTAAAATTTCTTGTATGCTCTAAAGCAATGATCACAATCCATAGTCTGTTTTTGATTTGCAAACTGTTACTGGTCTATGATGATTTAAGTATAGAAGGTTAGAGTATGCTTTTAAGAATTTTTTCTTTTTTAAGTACTGATCTGTAGTATATTGAGTTGAAAAACAAACATAATAAAACAAAGGTAATGTGAAAAGCACTATTCTAAGACACCCTTTGCCCAGTTCTGTTATTAAAAACATCAAAGGACACAAAGAACATGAGAGTAATGTAAGAGGAACTCAACATCAGTTCAGTGCCACTAAATGTTGGGTAATTTATTCAGTGTTGAGTCAGTGACTTAAAGTTTTTTTTCCACATGCTGGATCTGAGTTGACTTCAGAACACAGAGTTGGGGCACTCAGTAAGTTGGCTGGACACTTCACTCTCCCTTGTCATACACTATGGTAATTCTCATTTCAGTGCTACCTCATCATCTTTAAGTAACAAGAATAATTTTTCTCTTGTCTTAATATCCTAGTTGCTGCTGTTTCTACTATTGCTTCCAAAAATTCTCTTTCTGACAATCAGGGTAAATGTACAAATTTGATTTGACAACCCTCTACACGATTGACATTTGGGTAATGAATGCTAAGATTCAACCTGATGTCTCTGGGAATATATAGTTCACTCAATCTAGTTTATGTGAACTTGATACTTGGACTTGGCACTTGCTTCATTTTTTAAGGACAGCATCTAAGTAATAGAACTGTATCATTCATTAGTTTTCAAGTTTCTGTTCACATTTGGAACTAGATCAAGCTATAGGTTACTACTTCTGAATTGAGACCATTCTTAGGAGTGATGTGCTTTCAGATATTTTATATTTGTTTTTTATTTTTTCCTACAAAGTGAGTGTTTTCAACCTTTTTGCCACTACCAAAGCTGAACGATGAATGAAACCAGCACTGGGAGGTTAATTCCTTGTAATTAGTCTATATTCTGTTCTAGAGTTGTTCTGCTCCATATCAATATTAGTCAGAATTGGGAGTGTACAGAAAGGTTTGGATCTTTTCCGATGAGTCTTTCCTGGTGAGAATTTTTTAAAAACAAACTAGTTCCAATGACCTTTTATTGAAGTTTAATGCTAAATTACATTTACAGTATATATCTTTATGTCACAGGGATAATTCTTATATTCTTATATTCTAGGTGGGCCTCTTGGGCAGAACTGGATCAGGGAAGAGTACTTTGTTATCAGCTTTTTTGAGACTGCTGAACACTGAAGGAGAAATCCAAATAGATGGTGTGTCTTGGGATTCAATAACTTTGCAACAGTGGAGGAAGGCCTTTGGAGTGATACCACAGGTAAACTGAAAAGATTTAGCCTGGGAAAATAGCAACTAAATAAATTATTTATTGTTACTTGACACTCTTACTCAAACAATTCTCATTCCCCTGCACAGTGTATTCATTATGTCTTGCTGTCTTTTTCTCTACAAAGCAGTCTTTTCTTAAGGAAGAAAGTTATCTCTAAAAGTTTCAAATTTTCTAACATGTAGTTTTGAAATATTAATAGTTTTTGGTAAGGCAGTTATTACTTTAACCAAAAGACAAAATTCAGAGTGGGAATGTGGGGGTTTTGTTGTTGTCAGATCTTTAGGGTCCCGTTTCAGTAGTCTGAGCTCCAAGTTAGCAATCACAGCAGATTGAAAAATGCTTTTAAAGATAGAAAAGATGCTGCTGGAATAACAAACGCTGGGAAGCATGAGGCAATGGAATTGAAAATAGAGAGTGTAATGATTGTTTTTTGTTCTTTGGCTAGAATGAACCATGTCAGATTAAACTGTAGCTATTTTCTTTTTAAATGTCACTCTTTGATTTGGGTCACAAAGGATCTCTAGCCTAATTGGCTTAGTATCATTCTACCTGTGTTATTGTGAAAGAGGATTTATTATATATGTGAGAAGTAGCAGCTTCAAATTCCAGTTTAAAATGACCTAAGGACACTAAGGAATGTCTTCACTGGGAACAAATCTTAAAGGCATATGCTGTAATTCTACTGGAATTTTTTCTCATTTCTATGGCTATATTACTATTTCAATTACCACTTTGTTCCCTTTGTACTAATGGACACCGAATCCATTCCACTACCATAGTGCCAGCAGTTCTCCCCTTTAACCCAAAATTAAAATGCTGGGAGTGTCTCCAGGTGGACTGACTACAAATCTAGGCTGAGAAAAGAACTGTTCCTTCTTGATAGATCACCTTTATGGGACATTTGCTCCTTTCAGCTAATGGGGCACTAAATATTGTTAACTGCTAGATTCATGCTTTTAACTCATTTCTCTAGACTTTGCTGTGATGCCAGACTTTTTGAAACTTTTGAAAAACAGTATTCTTTTTTCACAAAGAAAAAAGCGATTGTGAGATGGTCTAGAGACAAGCAGGGAATGCAAGTATCCCAAGGTGATGGCATTAAGAAACACATTAATTTTGAAGAACACAGAATAGTATCTGGTTGTCCCAGAAGCACTGCTATTCAGTTGACTTCTGGTTGTATTTTAGCCACAATTAGGAACCTTTATTTACTGTTGTTATGGTTTGTACAGTTCTGCCTGTTAGAGTAAGTAAAACTCTAAAAAATATTTCAATTTCAGTAAGAATCCATTATTTATCTGCCATTTCCTAGAGAGATTTTTGTTTGATTGTGTATTCTATTTAGGAACCCAAGTACATAAAACCTGGAAGGAAATTATATGGACTGGAAAGATAAAAATTCTTTTTCAACCTTTCTGTCAAAGCATATCTTCCAAACTTGCCTTGATTTCATCTTCCCCTTTCTTTGGCTTCAAGCTTTTTATAAACACAAAGTACTTTGAAATATGTTTTCATAAATATGTGATCTTGGTATAATAGGTTTTTCTTCTTTTTTGATTTGTGACAGTGGCTATGGGATGTCCCCCATTATCACAGGAATGTCTTATACAGAATGTATTATTTTTCTGTAATGAAATTTTGACAACAATTAGCAAGTCCTAAAAAAAAGGGGGGGGTAAATTCTTTGTATATCTTTAATATTCAAATCAAGAGATGCTTTTGTTTTCCTAACTTACCTTTGAAAGTTCAAATTAAGGTTGTTTTTTTCCCTTGCCTGGAATTTGATCTTGAAAAAAGAAGGAAGCAGGAACTAAAAATCTAAAAACTATTTTTGTTTGCTTCTCCATCTTTTCCTTTCTTCCATCTGTCTGACCTTGCAATGGTATAGATCTCCCGGATCTCTGACACTGGGATATCAGAGCTCTCTGGGTCAATTAGACACTTGTTTTCAGACACAGAGCAAGAACGTGTGATGAGAAACATACCTTCTCCCCCATAGTGATCCCAAGATATCAGTTGTGGAATCACAAGATGTCATTAGTTTTGGCAAGTTCTTGCAGGTTTTTTGAAATTGTTCTTCTCTTCTGTAGCTAAAAAGCAATCTTGGGAAATAGGGTGTTGTGTACATTTCAAGTTGGAGCCTTTTTAAAATTTGCTCCACTTGCCCAATGAGCTGTAAAGAAGACATAGAGGGGTGAGAGTGACATCTTTTGTTAGGGCCCCATTGTCTTAGGTGATTCAAACACGAGAACTTAAAATTGTGTATTTTAAACATTTAGTTCATGTTAGACAATTAGTTCATGAAAAACAGAACAAAAAAATTAAAAATATATTGTTAAAGCTACAGTTACAAGTTTGAAAGATGCAACCTCGTCACAGGGAATGACAAGGTTTATTCATTCAGTGAGACTTTCAATCTAAAAATAACTTCTCTGCACATTGGACTTCCACTAAGAGTTAAACCATCTTTTTGGGATATCAGGAAAGACCAAAATAGTATCTCTATATCTGAAAATGGAACTGAAGTATAGCAGTTCTCATTCTGTTGAACACTTTGTTAACAAGTTATTATACTCTCATGGGCTCAGATTGTAGTAATTAGTGTAGACTGTTGCTGTATAAAATATATTGTGGTTCTGGTCCAAACTGTGAACTTCCAGTGAGAAGCTACACTTGTTACCATACCTCACAGATCAAAGAGAGAAGCCAAGCTGACAAATGACATCAGATCAAAGGGAGAAGCCAAACTGATACATGTAATCATGGGCCAAGGCACCAGCCAGTAAGGGAGTGCTGGTAGTAGCTGTGACAGACTGCAGCCATGTACTGTGCTTTTCTCTTCATCTTCTTTGTGTCTCTCCATTACTTGTCGTTCAGAAATTACACTTCTAAGACCAGCATTTTGATTTGTGATTTAACAAGTCAAAAACCTTGTCAGACACCTTATTTTTACTTCGTAGAGTCCAGATTCTACCGTGGTTCAGGTCCTTGACAATCAGGCCTCTCAAACCAACATTTCCTGTCAGATTTATCACTCTTTGCACTTGGGCACCTTTAAGTTCAGTCAAACTGCACTTATTGTTCCATGAAAGATACCTTATTTTGCTCTCTCATTTCCTCTGTCTGTACCTCTTGTGTCTGATGATTTTTCTTCACCATAGTTACATCGATATCTCAAAGGCTAAATTCCCTTCTCCTTTCCCATTGACTCTATAAACAACTCCCACATTCCAGTCTCACATGGTGTTTAGTACTTAGTTTCTAAATCATCCAGGCACATATCTCTGTCATACATAAGATTACCTGTTTATTTGTTTAACTTATGCTCAATATTGGAAACAATATTGACAATAATATGTTGTCTTTGTGCTGAGTCATTAAATGCTTAATTTCTTTACTGTGTCTCTACTAGTCTCTGGGTTTTACTAGACAAGCTATTCAGTCTCTCTGAGCCATCATTACTGCATTGCATTTTTGTCGGGATTTAAAAGTAAAGTAATAATTAAAAGCACTTAGGTTACTCCTGGCACAAACACTGGGTTGTGGTGGAGCTTTTTACCATCTATAGTTCCTCGAGGACGGAGGATCATGTCCCCTTCATCTTTGTATTGAATTGGTGTAGTAATGAACAGATGATTACAGACAATTTCACAGAGAAGTGATGATGAAGATGGACCCTAGAGGGTATAAAGTTTGAATGTTTCAGAACAGTTGAGCACAAAAAGCTGTGGAGAGGATATTCAGGGCCCCAGGCAAGAATATTATGATCAAATATAGAGACAGGAACTTAAAAGGTTTGGAGGGTTTCAGGAGACAGAGGGAAAGGTTTGACAAATACTGAAGTGGCCCAGTAAGGAATGAACTGACTTCTTGAACTAGGACAAGGATGGGCTAGGGGCAGAAGAGCACACAACTGAGAATGAGCCTCTGGGAAGCAGGGACATGGGCTGAGAAGATCTGCTATGATGTGATTGCAGTCTGGGCTGCAGTGTGGGATACAGTGAGGGTAGAGTGTAAATTCAAGGGAAAAAAGAAAAATAACTGGCGTTATGCTTAGGAATAAGAAGTCATTGTTTCCACTTAATTTATATTACATATGATCACTAGTAGCAAGTCTTGTTGTTGTTTTAAAATTTGCCTTGCAAGGCTAAAACATAATGCCTGTTGCAGTGACAGGTGGCCAGCTCTGAGTGCCCCGGAGGCAGGACCCTCTCCGCTGAGTGGAGTGCTGAGGAGTCAACTTCAAGGAGATTAGTTAGTCCAGTGGCGAGCAATGGTGCTCTTTGTTCTTGTTGAGTCCCAAGAACTACTTATGAGACCAGAACTACATACCATTAAAATAAATTTCAATAATTTGCACATCATAACTTTTCCTGTTGATGATCAGCTTCTTAAAAAAGCGATAGTGGATTATTGTTATTTATAGATCCAGTGTATTCTTTATTGTATAATCAGTTTGATTAAGCCATGTAACTTCAGGGCCATGGCTGTTTCATTTGTAAGCCAAGGAAAGGGTCTTATGTTACCTTCAGAACCTTTCATCTTTATAGGTGAGTTTGTGGAAATTTCAAACAGTTTTGAAGACAAAACTGAGAACACCTGCTGGTACCCCCCCGGAAGTAAGAGCGTGCCAGGTATTCTGTTATACAGGAACAGATGGCTGGTTAATTGTATGAAATTGTATTCTAGTGGAATTAATTACTCAGTTAATTTTTCTTTAAAATAAAAATAAGGCATTACTTTAATGCTGGATGATAAATTGTAAAGAAAGGAAATACAGAATGTCTATGTGATATGAAGTGTACTGCATCTAAGATTCTAGTTGTCTAATTTCAACAAAATTTTCTTCCTTATAATTTTGAATATATATATTTAAATAAAATTAGTCAACATATATTGCCATACATTTAATTAGTATTACATATAAATTATTGGGCTATTATGATAACAAGTTAGGCATACTGTTTCTCAAGCAGTTGCAAAGAATGATGCAAGTTTTTTATGAATTAAATATCATTGTGTTTATTCTTTTTTTTGCAGTATGCTAACAATTCAGTAACACTAAAAACAGTAGAATAGTTATGTGTCGATTGATAGTAACTTATATTAGGACACATTCTACAATGATATGTGCAAGAAAAAAATTAACAGTGATTATAAGTAAGCCTTAAATTTAATAATAGGTTTAGATTTACAAAAAGAAAAGTGTGAAGATAATACTGAGAGTTCTCAACCAAAATTATTAAAGTTATATCAGTTGGTATAATTTTGCAATTAATATCCCAAATCGATATAGTATTGTTAATAACTTCCTTATTTTATTTAGATTCACTTAGATTTTGACTTTTTCTTTTCTAGGACTCATCCCAGCTGGCACATTATGCTTAATCATCCTGTCTCATTAAGCTTCATTTGTCTGTGCCAGTTTCTCTAGAAAGTTAGCTCTGGAAAGTTTAGAGGAATGTTGTTCATGTATTTTGTAGAATGCTTCTAAGTTATATATGGTGTAAGTGGTATGTGAGGAATATCAAAGGGCAAAATGTTGTTCTTATCACTTAATATCAAGGATGTTTGTTCAGGATGACCTGTCATTATTGATGCTGTTTTTGATCATTGGCTGATGTACATTTGTGAGGTTTCTGCAAGAATGATCAAAGTTATAATGGATTGTTGGTATTACTCCTTTACTGTGGTTTGTAGTAAATACTTTTCCTTAGGAAAAAAAAATAATATTTTCTGAACTCTGATGTTTTTGTGTTTTTAATTTTAATCTTTACATTAGACCAATTATTTATTCAGTCAACATTTATTGAGCATTTACAGCACAAAGCCTGTGTGCTGATAACAGGGTACACAGCAAAGTTATGGTCTAGGAGAAGAAGTAGACATTAAAAACAAAATATTCACAAATGCATATATAATTTTAATATTCACTGTAAGCTCTGAGAACTAGTACAGCTTTATCAGATTATATTGGGGGTGAACTTTTTTTGATTTTTTAACATTAGGAAAGATGCCTCTGTGAAAGTAATTTTTAACATGAGACATGAGGCATGTTGTTGACCATGGGAGTAATGTAATAGATGAAATTCCCAGGCAAGGAGAAAATGAATATGTAAAGACACCAAGAAAGTGAAAGAAAGTCATGCAGCTGTCATGAGAAGGAAAGAGGGTAGAGCAGAGATCCAACCCAGAAGCAGCAGAAGGAGCTAAAGCACATAAGATCTGCAGGTTATCTGAGCTTTTAACTCTTTGCACTGAATGTAATAGAAGATCACTGAAGGCTTTTTAATAAATTTATGACATGATCCAATTTATATTTGTAGTGATTGCTTTAGTTGCTAAGGGAGAGTCAAACTGAAAGCAAGAGTGAAAGGGAAGAAATCAGTTTGGTAGGAGATTCTTTTTGTTCCAGGGAGAGATTGGTGGTTTGAATTATGGAGTGCTAGTAAAGATAGAGAAATGAATGGATTTGAGATAAATTGTGTGAAAACAGTCCACAGGATTTATGATTGATTTTGTTTGGAAGGATGAGGAAGAAAGATACCTTGTGAATAGCTCCCAAATTTCTGAATTGAGAAAAGTGCCATATATCAAAATGGGGAAGCCTATACATAGAGTAAATTTGAGAAGGTTGTATTTCCTTCTTACACACAATCCACAGATTGTGAAACTAAGGCTTCAAAAAAATTATTTCTTAATTCTGCTTATTATGATATAAATGAAAGGCAATTTTAAAAATTTGTTAAAATAAAAAATATTTTTAGTTCATTTGTATGCACACAGAGAAATATTGTCATATCAGCATTTCACAATGAGAGTGGTTTTCTCTTAAAGTATTTTTTAATCATATTAGACTAATCTGAGTGAACAGTGATTTGCTGAATGTCTTAGTATGGTATAGCCAGTGCTCCTGGCAGAGAATTAGATTGTCATTTTATCACCTCAGCAGGATCAGTCTCATCTGCTTCCCTTCCTTCCCTTCTGTAACATTCATTAAGTTAAATAAACATTTGAGCTCTATTCTTTCATTGATTTCTAAGTTGTAGCCCTCTCCTGTGGGCCTCTATGTAATTTTGTTAGTAAAGGTGACCCTTGATTCATAGACTCAATAATCAGTTGCATTTATATGAATATCTATAAATAAAGACAATTTCAAAATCTCTTAGGAAGTTTAGTTTATAAAAGAACTACAAAGAATATTTTAACAAAATATCACTCTGTTCTGATGAATTAATTACAACTTATAATGTTTAACCATTTAATTTGATGATATATTTGCTTAAAGAATATTGCTAAGAATAAATAAAATAATATTCCATTGTTTACAATGATTTTTTAACATCTGTATTCTAAAGTTATTGTAACTTATTAAGTGTTAATGAAGGACTTCAAATGTAGCCATAATATTTTACTTCTTAAAAATTAAACAAGGAGGCCCGCCTGCCCCGGAGGTGACCACATGGCGAGGCAGACCTCTCCTGACCCGCCCGCTACTCCCCTCAGCAGTGTACTTCGTCTGTCTGCCTGTTCTGCTCCCCACTCTGTATCTAGTGAATCCTCTCACCCTCCACATCTCTGGCCTGTACCCCAGTTTTGTATGAATAAATAAATAAATCTTTAAAAAAAATTAAACAAGGAAAATATAAGATTTTTAAATAAAAAATGGGTGATAAGTACATGGGTATTGGTTAGTTCACTTTAAAGTATTTTTTTCTGGTTGAAATATTGTACAATAATAAAGGAAAGGTATAAAATGTTTTGGTTGTTTATATTTTCTTTTCTCTTTATGCTACAGAAAGTATTTATCTTTTCTGGAACCTTTAGAAAAAACTTGGATCCCTATGAACAATGGAATGATGAAGAATTATGGAAAGTTGCAGATGAGGTAAGAATGTGCACTAAAATAACTTTGAAAAAGGCAGCTGTGCACAAGAGTAGCTTCCATAGCTGAAATAATTTTCACATACTTACCTGTGTTTATATATGTGTATGTATATGTACAACTTTAAAATGATGACATGGGTTATTGCAGTAATTTGGACTAGACCTACTGTTCTCCATGGTGAGTTTCCAACTATCAGACTCCAGAGAGAGCATTCATTTTCCGTCTCCTCCACCCATGTGCCTCAATGAGACGTGAACTAAGAGAGACCCAGGTGCCTGTGGTGCTCCAGGTTTATTCCTTATGCAAAAGATCATTTTGCACACATTCTCATCTCCCTATCTGGGTTCCAGATACAAGAAGGAAGATTTGCTTTGATATGATGTATTTCCTGGGAAGCACGTGTTTAGAAAAGATGGGTGATAATTATTCTAGCACTCCTTCAAATAGCTTTTTTCAAGAGGAGTCAGCTGTTTTCCAGGGATGTGACTGAGAGTACCTTATGGGAAAAATGCCACATGACTTAGATAAGATACTGTTCCTTGAAGTCATTAAGATACCATGTGGGAAATACATGGCTCAAAACCAAATCAAAATTTCTAAATAATACTCTTTACTCACCGAACAGGTGGTTCATTATAATTGAAGGCATTATATACAGAGGAGTTTGGGGTTTAAGGGAGTAAGTGAAATTCTTGATTTCCTTACCAGAATACTCGAGCTGAGAACTGATAGTTCTTGAAACAGAGACATTAAAGACAGGGAGACACAAATTATTCTATTTCATAAATTTGAGGTTGAAACCCAAAGCTCTGGATGTTGGCAGTCTGCAATACGGGACCCATTTTCTGTTTTCCTTCAGTGTGAATTCTGCCAGAAGCTTCAAAATCTCTGTGAGTGTTTAACAGTTAGAAATTGAGTGCCCAACCTTGACATATCCCTAATAAAATGCACTTAGACTGACCATTTTCATTATCAAAGTTTCCTTATTACCCAACAAACAGAAGTTTTAAAGAAAACATTAACTAAATTGTGAGTGGAACATTATAAGATCTTTGATGTGACTTTCAGAGAATGAACTATAGGAACACAATGTAATGGGCAAAAAAAATTTGAGAAGGAGATGTTAGTCTTTATAAAACCTGCAACCATTGCCAAGTAAGAATAAATATACAGCAAATCAGCATCACAAAAATTGGTTAAATTTTTAAAAGATGTTTCATTTTTAGTACCAAATAATGTGTGATTCTTTTACCTATACTTAGATTGTTATTTGATCAGTTAATAGTTATATTTTTTGAAAAACAATTTGATAATCTGGAGAGTTATTTTAGCAAAGTAGCTAAATAACAGAAAGGTGTTCTTTCAGGTTAACAGTTTATCTTGGGAGAGTAGTGAAAGGACTGTCAAAAGAGTTGAGAGTAGCTATTTTTATCACTGCCTACAAAGAGACTCTTCAGTCCAACCACAACCTACTGAGTTTTTTCATGCTTCCTTTTCACGAGAGCAAACTCTTGCTCCATAATAACAGTCCAGGTTGCAACAGTAAAAAAATCAATATTTTGAACAAACTGCTTGGTTCTTTACAGACTATAGTACATTTTTTTAGTTTGATATATCACAAAACAAACAAACAAAAAACTTCTTTCTAAATCAATTGAGAAGTATATGTAATTTACTAACCTACTAGCATAAAACTGCCAAATTATTTAATCTTAAAATTCTGTATCTCTACATAATGATGATGCTTTCTTTTTAGTACTAAACTATAACGTTTAATTCACCATAGTTTGGATAGAGCCATACTAAATTGTATATACTTTTGATCTATTGAAGAATGGTTTGTGACAACATTAGAAATAGTACTGTATTAGGGACATATTTGTATATGTATTTTTTTTTAAAGATTTATTTATTTGTGCGTACAGAACTGGGGTACAGGCCAGAGGCTCAGGGGTGGTGAGAGGCTTCACCAGAGACAGAGCGGGGAACAGAACAGGCAGATGGACGAAGTACACTGCTGAGAGGAGCAGCGGGCGGGTCAGGAGAGGTCTGCCTCGCCATGTGGTCACCTCCGGGGCAGGCGGGAATCGAACTCATGCGGAAGCGGCTTTAGATTCTCAGTGCTGTGCTCCAACCCGCTGCGCCACCAGGGAGGGCCTGTGTATGTATTTTTAAAGTCTACTGCTAAAGATCACTAGATTAGATTATCTGTATAGCAATTACCTTTTGGATCTCTTTCCCTTATAGTTTTAAGTCTTTGAACAGTACTTTCCCACTTTTTATTATCCTTTCCATCTGGACCATGAGTTCCTTTAAGGCAAGGCCTACTGCTGTTCATCTTTGAATCCCCACTCAGTGATGGCACCTAGAATTTAATACACTCTCATTAAGAGTCTATTAAGAAATACAAGACTAAGCAGTCATTTACATCCAAGTAATCAGTGGCTAATTTAAACCATTCTTATCAGTATATATAATTAGTGACATACTTTATATCCTTTCAAAAGCGTTTAGTCAGTTTTGCTTCCCATTTTCTCTCCAAAACCTACCACATATGGCAGAGAATAAGTAATGCATTTGTTGACTATTCATTGGTTTCAGAATTTAAAGTTGTAAACTTCTGTTGCCCTTTCTCTGATGAATGGTTGTAAAAGATTTTTTTTGAACTATGCCTTATAGTAAATGAATAATAAGATAAGACGGTTGTAGAATACTCTCTAGATAGGTCTGTCTCACCCTCATTCATTTTTTAAAACTTTGTTCTGAAAATATTGATAGTGAAATACATTTAGGTATTTATTTAATTGAAGTAAAGAAAGAGTTTCATTTGGAAACAAACACACCCTTCACTCAGCTCTATATCATCTGGAAGTGCAAAATATTACACAGGAAAGTAGCTTTCCTAATTTGGACATGGGAAATGATTGTTTGATTTGTGTGACACTAAGTAGAAAATACATACCACTTACCAAAATCACAGCCTTCCTATACTTGGAATCTCCTAGGCTACATAACCATACTGATAGCTCCCATGGATTAGGTACCTACCACATGCCACACTCTGTGCCAACCTCTTTCCACAAATCATCTCATTTAAGCCTCATTGCAATCCTTTGAGTTCTATACCATTATATTTCCTCCACCTTTTACCTGTGATTTAATGATATTTAAAGTAATGTACCTATTGCCAGCAGCAAATGAGTGGTAGATTGCATATTCAAAGCCACTTCTGTTTGACTATAGAGCCCCAATCTTTAAACAGTACTTTTCTTGATGAGTCATTTGACTTATACCTCTAAATCACCGACAGTGCTAAAAACCAGTGTTACCTAATTTAAAAAAAAGGAGAATACAATTTAAAAATACTGAAAAAAATCCTTAAACTCTAATAAATAATCTGAATTGAAATACTGACATTTCTGTCATTGTCAAGGAACTTCTAATTTTATAATTTGATTTTAAGGGATTATATAGAGCCTTAAAGATGAGCAAACAGAGGCACACAGACATGCAGTGACTTGTCTTATAGATTACACACTACATTGGCAGAGCTAAGGTCAGCAACCATTCAGTTACCATTTGCCATTCCCCCTTCAGTTTGGATTTGTCATTCATCAGTATCCTGTGTGTTTTGTTTGGCCAGCATTAAAGAAGTTTAGTATATATTTGTTGAACAAATGAATGGACATATCACGACTGACGATGTGTTTCAGTAGTAGCACAAATCTAAAGAACACAAATCTTTACCCTCAGGAAGCTGACAGTCTAACAGGAGAATTTGCACATGTATTGTCAATGCCAGGTACTTTACTGCCTAATGGATGATCTGGAATATTCAGAACACTAAGTAATGGCACAAACTTGAGAGACAGTCAGGGTATACAGGAAATGCATGCTTTTTGATGCTAAAATAATCCATCAATTCTGGGTGCCTTATATGCCATATAAGAGACTCCAGAAAAGAACTACCATAGGATTTAAAACAGACAACAATGTAGTCAATCTGATTTAATTTTCTTTCTTCATATAATATATTTACATTAAATTGTTTTTTCTTGAAATAATGTTGGTTTATAGCACTTAAGATATATGTTATCTCTTCAACTATATGTTACCATACCATGCCACCTCAAAAGCATTCATAATCCTCCTCCATAATCCACTGGATACTTTCAAAGGATCCCTGAGGTACTGAATTTTAAAGTGAGAAATTGGGTACTTGGGATTAATAGCATGATGCTTAAGAGATAATGATGGCCTGAGCCAGGTTCACTGTAATAGGGTTGTCAAAGAGGACAAGGATTTAAGAAGTATATGTCCAGGACTCAAGAGAAAGATTGAAAAATCATTAGCTCATGAGTAATAGCAAATACCTAAGAATGAATGAGCGCTCATTAGAAGAGTTTAGAGAGTTGGGAATGAGGAAGACTAGTATTCAAGTATCTGAAAGAGGGAGATTTGCCCATACATAGTAAAGGGAGAAATGGTCATAGAAAGTGTGGTTTCTTATAAGCCAAAGAATATATGTTTCAAGAAGGAAAAATGATGTTCTAGTGTAAGGCATGGAGATAACAGAAGAGCACTACCCTTTGAGGTTTCTTGATGACATAGATAGTGGACATTGAATAATAGCTAAACGAGAATCAGGCAGCAAGTGAGAAGTTTTGCTTTTGTTTTAAGAAGATAAAGACTATAGAAAGTTCATAGACTGAAGCCAATAATCAAAAAACTGAAGCTAGAAAACACCCGAGTACTCTAGTCCAGTGCCCTTTATTCATATTCTCAGCCACTTGGGTCAGAAAGTAGTTTCATATTTGTGTCTCCCAGGATACATCAGAGAAGTCCCTGTTGTCTAATTAATGTGCTTATCTTTCCCACAGTCTCATAAATCCTTTTAAATATTAATTAATTTTCACCAAGTGAGATTGCTTTAATGAGAAACCTAGTTAAGGAAAGGATTGTTGTCTGCAGTGAACATCATGGCACACAGCTAATTTTTGCTGAACAAACACTGTGAGGCAGCCATCTCTGAATTCACTTGCCTCCTGAGAGTCTTTCTTCAAGTCATTATTTCATTCTGCATATATTACAGTTAACTGGAAGTACATCTTAACTTTCTGATGGTAAATCCCAGACTTCCCAATTATCTATGTATTTGGACAATTACCTATGTATTTCTTTAGCCAGCAAATATTTAGCAATACTTTGCAAAACATAAACATCAATGCATATTTATTTAAATAAATAGTAAGGACTAAGACTTCTATCACTTTGTCTTATTTTAAAATAATGGGTTTCTATATATTTTTTGCAATTTTAAGATCTTTTTCCTATCTAGCTTTAGAAAGTAAGCCTCTCATGTGACCACAACTCTCTTATTCTACAGCCTCTCATGTGACCACAGCTCTCTTATTCTACCCCAATATCTAAGCACCTTTAAATCTCTTAGTATCATTGCTTTAACGCCAGTTTTTTTACTTTGTGATTACATCAGTTTCTTACAATCAATTTTATCAAAGAGACGAATAATGAGTTGAAATATGTATTTTTTTAATTATATTTTTTATTGAGGTAATGTCAGCTTACAACACTATATATGATTTACGGCTATAGATTCACATCCATTTGTCATTTAAAAAGCTTTCCAAAAAGCGAAAATAGAAGGAACATACCTCAGCATTATAAACCCAAGTCTACAGCTAACACATACTCAGTGGTGAAAAATTGAAAGCTTTTCTTTTAAAATGAAGTACATGATGAAGGTGTCTATTGTCACCACTACTGTTCAACATAGTATTGGGAGTTCTTGCTAGAATAGTTAGAAAAGAAGAAGATATAAAAGGAATTCAAGTTGGGAAAGAAATAAAGCTGTCACTATTTGCAAATGACAATATACATAGAAAGCCCTAAAGACCCCATTTAAAAAGAAAAGCTGTTATAAACAATAAATTAGTACTGTGAAGTTGCAGGCTCCAAAATCAATATACAAAAGTCCATTGTATTCCAAAACAAAAATACTAAACTAGAAGAAAAAGAAACTAAGTAAATAGTCCCATTTATATTTACATCAAAAAAGACTTGAATATCTAGGGGTAAATTTAACAATGAAGTTGTTTTATTTATACAACAGAAAAGCTGAGAGATTGTTAGAAGAAATAAAAGACACAAAGAAATTGGATGGATTGTAAGAATTGTAGAGATGGCTCTCTTACCCATTACAGATGTGGATTTAGAGATCTAGTCACTTGATTCTTTTAGGCTACTTTTTATACTGTGTTTGAACAGAGTGGAGAATGAAAAGAAATATAAAACAATCTGTAATGATGGAGTAAATACATTCTGGAATACTATGTTTAATAGCATGTATTGTGTTGTAATTATCTGTGTATGTCTTTATGAGCCCTGAAGCCTCCAGTGGCCATGTGCCATTTCTCATTTCTTTAATACCTAATGAAGTACTTGACATATGATTGGTACTCTGAAAATTTCCATAATGAGTGAAGTATAGCACAGACACATGACAAATCACACTTGGACCCCTTAGTGCTTCTAAGATTGCATGTAGACTTTCATTCAATGAAGCCCAAATAGTAGGAGGATGGGTGATACAAATTTAGACTTTCAGAACTTCTATGTGCCATTTTAGACTGCCAGTCTAAATAAAAAGTGTTTTAATCTTGTGTCATCTGTACCACCCTTTCTAAGCACAGTGTTTTCCCTTCTTTCTTTCTACAGGTTGGACTCAGATCTGTGATAGAGCAGTTTCCAGGGAAGCTTGATTTTGTCCTCGTGGATGGGGGTTGTGTCCTAAGTCACGGCCACAAGCAGTTGATGTGTTTGGCCAGATCTGTCCTCAGTAAGGCAAAAATCTTGCTGCTTGACGAACCCAGTGCTCATTTGGATCCAATGTGAGTTTCAGACTTGTGATGTAAAAATACAGTTGGAGCAGAGTTAGTGAAGCCTACGTCATATTAACACAAATTCCCACTAGACCATTCTGTAAACAAGTGGAGGACACCCCACACCAGATATGAAATAACTGCCCAGGGAGAAAGTTACTATTTGACCTGAGCACAAGGAAATATTTCTTGGTATAAGAGTCCTACATTATTTTCTGACTAATTTTGGAATTTAACATACACATTTTGCCCTTGTCAATACATGAGGAAATGTTTATTTGCACAGCATATCTAACCATTATAATTTTTCTTTCTGTCACATGTATGCAACAGGGAATAGTTATAACACAACAGGACTACTAGTGATTCTGTATAATGAGAAAACATACTTATTTGTGAAAATCCTCTTCAAAATACTTGGTTACTTTATTTAAGGAAATGTAGAATCTTCCCCATGGAAATTGATTGTGGCTGATTCTACATCAGTAGTATTTTTAAAAACATTTAAACAAAGATAGTACCCTCCCTGGCAGCGGACCCTCCCTGGGTTAGGACACAGCACTGCAAGCTGGCCGCAGCCTACTCAGTGCAAGTTCAATCCTCAGTTCCATCCCCACTCTGGAGGTCACCCACATGATGAGGCAGATCTCTCTTGACCCGCCCGCTGCTCCCCTCGGCAGTGTACCTCATCAGTCAGCCTGTTCAGTCAGTGAATCCTTTTTCTGCCCCTGCACCTCTGGCCTGTATCCCAGTTCTGTATGCCTGTATGCATAAATAAATAAATTTTTTTAAAAATAATAAGAAAGATAAGTAATTTAAAAATAGGATGAAAAGCATGCTGTCAAGTATAGCACAGACACATGACAAATCTTTCTTTTCTAGAACATACCAAATTATTCGAAGAACCCTAAAACAAGCATTTGCTGATTGCACAGTAATACTCTGTGAACACAGGATAGAAGCAATGTTGGAATGTCAACGATTTTTGGTGAGTATATAATTCAGTTAAGATCTCATGTCTCCTTTTAAGTCTTGCTAATAATCTTGCATGTGATAGTTACTGCAAATCACAACAATCTACAAGTTGTTTCTTAAAACATGTATCCTACAGTCAAACAGCTTTATTCAAAATAGTTGCACAGTTTGACTTTGACTTGAGCTATGATATTGGAATTCAATAAATCTGAAATAACAGCATATTACTAAATTAATGAATAAACTGGAGTATCTGTACATTTTTGTGCCCCCTTTTATTTTGGGATCAAGAAAGATGATATCCTGATACTTTAAATAACTAAACCTTGCATTATAGACCTGGATGGTCTTGCAGTCTGATGATGGTTTTAATGTGGTAGTCGAAAGACTTCATTTTTCTAATTTGGAGTCAGGGGTCAGATTAGTGACTCTCCCAAACACCTTCTCATTTTGCTTTCCAGACTATCACAGAGTCTTCCAAGTGTTGTTTACATATTCCCTTGGGCTTAGTCATAAGGAAGTTCTGAAGATAATAATGTATCATGTCATTTCTGTTAAAGCTTTTGAGGTTTCTGGAGGTAATTGTTTTCCTGACTGCAGGATTGTTATTACCATTATTATGGACAACTTGGCAAATAGGGTGTAGACTCATCACCTCTTGACCTGTCATGGTCCAACTCCAGAGGTTGGCTAAAGTGCTTCTATTCTTTGGCCTTGGGTTTGCTCATCATGAACACAGAAGGAGGCACATCAAACTCAGGCACCTGTTTGGAAGTGTTCAGTTTCAAAAATCCCCAGTTGAAAAGGTTCAACTTTGTGGATTTACATTCATTTTTAAGGTCAGAAAGAAGGGATCAAACAGGAATCATTCTTGTTTTCAGAGAAACCTAAAAAGTTCTCTGAAGAAGCACCATGCTCAGTGCTATACTAATTAAAAAATAAATCTTCTAGCTGCTAAGTGGAAAATTTACTGTATAAGCCTCATAAAGCAAGAGGATTTAGCCATTAATGAGACACATGGGATTATCAGACTGAAGGCTCTGGATACTGTGCCTTCTTTTTGGCGGTTCTTTTTTCTGAGCCTATGCCAGTTTCTCTCCTGCTCTGGTCCACCCTGCCTCTGTCTGAGACCTCACTAATGGCCACTTCCGTAGGTCATAGAGGACAACAAAGTGCGGCAGTACGATTCCATCCAGAAACTGCTGAGCGAGAAGAGCCTCTTCCGGCAGGCCATCAGCTCCTCAGACCGCTTGAAGCTCTTCCCCCTCCGGAACTCCAGCAAGCAAAAGTCCCGATCCAAAATTGCTGCTCTGAAGGAGGAGACCGAAGAGGAGGTGCAGGACACACGGCTGTAGAGAGCAATACAGATGTTAGTACTGACTGTTCGCTCATAGTTGGAGAAGAAAAAGTTTCTGCCTAAGAAAACAAGGATGAATTTTTTTTTTTTTTTTAATTTTTGGTCAAAGGAATTAAGGGCTTTCCCATGGGACTGGATAATGGCTTTCTGGCTATAGTCAAATTGTGTGAAAGGTACTTCAAATCCTTGAAGATTTGCAAGCCAGATTTTCCTGAAGACACTTTCCCTTTGTTGGTAACTGGAACAATGGCTGTAAAGAACAACCAGCTTATTTCTTCAACTTATTTTTTTAGGGAAAAGCATTAATCTGCACTACTGGAGAAGAACTATAATCGTACTACCTAGAGATATAATTAAGTAATGGTAACAGGAAACTTTAGTGTTTATGTATACATATGTCCCTTTTTTTTCCTTCTCTCCAAGATACATAAAAGCAAAACTACATTGTCTATTAAACATTCTGACTGTCTTGTTTCAAAAAATTAGAAGCAAAGGAGAGTCACAAGGCAGCCTGTTAAAATATGCAATATGCAACATAGAGGTGTTGAGCAGGAGACAGTTTCTCTCCCTGGAAATCGGGGTTAGTGCCATTCCACCTTCCATCAAATCCTAATACTTCAGATAATCAGAATATATCCCTTTCCTGGAAAGAAGAGCTGTGACAGTGCCTCGAGGGGACTGCAGGATAGCTCTTGGGATGCAGAAGTTTCCCAGAAAGTCACAAACTCCCAACAGTGCTGAACTGAAGAAAGATGGTTGAAAAATGCATCAGTGTAAATTGGCTCAGATCTGTCCTCATCACGGAAGCTGCAGGCAGAGAGGCGCTCCAGCCATGGCAGTGCAGGTAGATGTACATTAAAGTCCAACGATCTGCAACATCTGAGTAATGTGGGGTGATCGTGTTTTCAGGCTGGCTGTATATATCCCAGACTGTACCCCAGAATGGGAGCTATAATGGAAGAGACACTGAAAAAGAGTCAATCATGAGTTAGTTTTATATGCTACTATTTTATAATTTTGTGATGCAAATGAAATTTTCTCTAGGATATTTATTTTAATAATGTTTCAAACTCACAAATGACTGTATTTTAAAAATGATTATATTATGAATTATATTTGTATAAAGGAATTTTTATATTTGAAATGTTGACTTTTTATGACACTAGCTATATTTTTATGACATCTTAAAACTTGGGGGGGAGAACTAGGGTGATGTTGGCCCGGGGTTATGAATTACGTTCATGTATGGAGGGAAGCATCAGGGCTGACACAGATGTTACACATAACTGTATGATTCCCAGCCAGCACACAGCTTCCCCTGTATGTGCAGTTCTTGAAGAGTGTACCACAAAATCTGATTGCTCCTATCACAGACATGCTGCCTTCAAACTCTAAAGTAACCCTTTAGATTGCGTTCTATTTATTACTTTAAGAAAGTATCATATGTCAATAAAATCCATATATTTGTGTGAAACTTAGCTGTCTTCAAGTGTGTTCATTAATGGGGTCTCTTTGACCTCTTCAGTCTCTAAGGTTCACAAAAACAAAACATGAATCTTTCCTTTAGATATAGTTTCTTTGAGAATTTCACATGCCCGAAGTCACTTTTCAAAATTTTTTTTTAAATTGTGGCAAAATGTATTTAGCATAAAATTTATCATACTGGTGCTAATTTTTACCATTTACCATATAATGTACATTTTTAAAGTATAAAGTTCAGTGACCAAGTCCATTCAATATTGTGCAGTCAGTATCACATCTACCCCCAGAACTCTTTTCTTTTGTAAAACTGAAGCTGTAGCCATCCCACAAATTCACTCACACTCCTCCCCAGTCCCTGGAAACTACCTTTCTACTTTCTGTTTCTGAATTTAACAAGGCACCTCACATGAACAGACTTAAGATGGTATTATACGGTACTTTTCTGACTGACTTATTTCACTTATTATGTCTTTACGGTTCATTCATGTTGTAGTATATGCCACAATTTTCATCTTTTTTAAGGATAAAAACATTCCATTGGATGAATATATACCCATTTTGTTTAACCATTTGTCGGTGGATTTTTGTTTTGTCATGGTGGCTTACTTCCACGGTGTTGAATAATGTGTACACACACAAAAATGTTTTCCCATACATATGATATATTTCACAATGGGCCACTTATTTTTTGGAAAGCTTATTCAGAGATGGTAGTTGTCTGATTGTTCTTAATAAGTAAACAAACCTCATTAAAGGAAATAGTATATCTACACTAGAACCTGGGTGGTATTTTTCTTTATTCAACTCTGTTTTTAATTGATGATAATTCTTTGGTCCCTTTCTTCCTTGCAGTGTCTTCATGAAGCTATAGGTGTCATTGGTATATGGACAGTAGATTACTACTGAATGCTTAGTCCTCTATCCCTGACATTTCTTAGTGAAAAAGGTTTCTTTTTACACATGACCCCAAGAGGGCAGTCTCAGAGCATGCTCTATTTTAGTTATTCTACTTCCTTCCTCCCCCATTAATAAACTTAATATTCATGGTTATTTTAAGTTCACAGTAAAATTAAACAAAGTATACAGAAGATTTCTATATATCCCCTTCCTCCCTATCCCCCACCACCACCCCTTCCTCCTCACACACACAGCCTCTGATCTCATCATTTCATCATTCCTCAGAAGAATGGTACATTTGTTACAATAAGTAAATCCACATTGACATATCAGTACCACTCAAAGTCTGGGGTTTCATTAAGTTTCATTTTTCATGAGCCCTATTCATTCCTTCCTCCACTAAACCATGGCAACTGTGATTCTTCATATTGTCACAATTTAGCCTTTTGTTGAGTGTCATAAAGTAGGAATCATAGAATCATATAGTATGTAGCCTTTTTTGATTGGCTTTTTTTTTAACATAGTAATATGTATTTAATGTTCCTCCTTACACACAGGAATTATATTGACTCTAAAGATTATGCTGAAAAGAACTGACATTGACCATTCCTATTTACCATTATAGACTCGACTGTCTCTCCATTTGTTTAGCCCATTTTTGACTTTGTACCTCAGTGTTCAATAGCTTTTCTTGTACAGAACTTGTATGTTTTGCTAGGTTTATTTCCATGTATTACAGTTGGGGGATTTGCTAATGTAAGTGATGTATTTTAAGTTTTTAAATTTTACTTGCTTATTGCTGGTCTTTGGGACTGTGATTGATGACTTTATTAAATGTGCATCCTTCATCCATGCTACTATTATTTAGTAAAGGTTTTCATTGATTCTTTTTTATTTTCAACATAGATGGTCATGTCATCTGCAAGTACAGTTTTTTCTTTCCTTTCTTTTCTAGGTTTATTGCATTATTTAGGACTTCTAGTTCTATGCCAAATGCAGTGATAAGACATGTGTTAGCAACAAGATTTTTGTAGTTGTTCTTTATCAAGTTAGGAAGTAGTCTACTGTTCCTGCTGTGCTAACAGTTTATTGGGAATTGGCTTTAGAATTTTCTCTAATGCTTTTTCTGTATCTATTGATGTGATCATATATAATTTTTCTTCGTTAGCCTGTTGATAATATAGATTTCATAGCTTGATTTTGCCTGTTGGTAATATAGATTACCTAGCTTGATTTTCAGATGCTGAACCAGCTGGGGGAAATCCCACTTGCTTGTGGTATACAATTCTTTGGATTTAACTTGCTGACATTTTCTTGAGTACTTTACATGAAAAATACATTGTTTTGTGATTTTATTCTCTTGCATTGTCAGCTTTTCACTGATCTTTATTGTGAGTTCCTGTTCGATTCCCTTAGAGTTCTACTTTCTCAGGCTTGTCTACATTAAGCCTCTAGCAATTTGTCAATTAAAGGTCAGATTTTCCTACCCAGACACTGGTTCCTAAGAAAGTTTCTGCTTGATGATTTCTTTTCAGGTAACTTGTGATTCTCTATATTTACATGGCTTTCTAATTTGGGAGGCAATAGTTTATCCTGTGACTATTTCTCTAAAGATCTAAGACAATTTGTTGATTTTTTTTTTTCAGTTTGCTCCACTTTTTCATTATGGTTAGGCTGGAGTGGTGAACACTAAAGCTTCACATATGACAGATCAGAAACTTGAAGTCTTCCTAGTTCATTTTTGAGTAAAAAGAAAACCTTTGCCAAGATGGAAGGATTGAAATGCAAATTAAATATGACCAAATTAGAAAAAACAACCTCAATTCTGAAAACATAATTTTAGATGAAAAATATGCAAGTAATAAGGGAAAATCAGTGTTGGTCACCTAAGCATTATTGCTCATCCCAGTACTTGGCTTTTCCCCATATCAGTTTTCTTTCCTCTTCTTTTCCACTTTTAAAATAAGCTATTACTGTTACAGACTTTCTATTTTTATCTACTTGTTTCCTCAGAGTCTCAAGTTTCAGATTTTTATTTGTTTCAGCCTACACTCACTCCCATCTGACACAAACTTTCATTTATTTCTCAGCCCTTTCACTTTGCTTTTCTTCATTAAGTAAAAAAAACTAAATCTTGAAACAAGCATACTTCCTTCCAGTAACCAGGGACTTTCCAAGGTTGAGAAATTGCTACCTATTAAAGTGAAAAGCTAATAAAACCTCTATGTAAACATCTTAGTAGTTTGCTAAACACAAACCTTAAATATGTGGAAGACAATCAGAATGAGGTTTAAGAAACTCAGTATGAAAACCCGTTTTACTTGTTAAAACAGGTGTGGGTTATTACAATTCCCTATTAAAAGATACAATGGGGAGAAAAACTATAAATACAATGCAAATATATTTGGGCATGAGAACTCCAAATCAATAGGTTGGGAATTATAAGCTGCTCCCAGTGTACAGCCAAAGAGAATGGTCAGTTGACGGGAACTGGGGATCAGTGTGTGTGTGTTATTGTCAGAGAAAAGAACTCTTGGCCGAGGATTTGAGTTTATCTTTATTGCAGTGGGAACAGTCACTTGATTTTTAATAACTCAGTTTCTCTGCTAATGCTGACCTTTAGTTTCT